CGTCTCATACCGCACACAGAAGTCAACTCTGGCTCCCTGCTCCCCGAATGGAGGCACAAGGGTTATCTTGAATGAGAAATAGTCCATCAAATCATCACTGGATCCATGAGTATACTCTGCCAGCAGGTCAAAGTGGTTGGACCAAGCATCAAACGTGGTTCGGATATAAACTGCCTTAGTAAGAGAAATGTTAAGCACACGGATCACTCCCTTCAGTGTCGTGGTCCCAGGAAGCAGCTCAACTGTTTCCAACTCAACTTTTTGGTCCCATACTTTGGCGAGCAGCTCCCCATTAGGCAATGGCCGTGTGAAAGTGAGAGTAGATATGTAGTATTCTTCAGCCTCATTGTTATCCCCCTCACAAGAGTCGTACCCTGGCAGTTTGGGGACATCCCAGGTGTCAAACTCCTTCACTTGCACCAGGCTTAGACCTTTGGTGTCTGCAAAGGACACTCTTCTTGAGCCACAGAGAGGCGGATCAGGCTCTGAGTCCTCGTCAGACACAGAGCTTCTTCTACGTGGAAGAGGAGAAGATTTGGGTCTGATGCCGATTACCACTTCACCCTCATCACTATCTCCATCCAAAGAGCCAGGGCCTGGCACTCCCAGGAAGTTACAGGCCCCATAAAGTCTCCGTTCACCCTCAAACTCCATGGGACACTCTGTGAGTCAGCGGGAAATAAGCCTTAGTGCTTCTGCTTCTGGCAACTGACATTCAACATGCTCTGACTGAACAGATGGAGTCGAGTTACATGTGACATTGTTGCAAGGTCCAACACTATAAATAGGGCAGAAGGGACTAAAACTATGTACAGTGGTCCAAGCAAAGGACGAGAAAATATCACCCTCTTTCTTTCTGCAAAAGTATTGCAAATGTCTAGTACATCCCAGAGAGCAGATTTATTACTACGTTTCAGTCAAAAACTCGGCAGACTGTGGATCAGGTGGACAGTGCAAATTTTTTGTTGATTTGGGTTTAGGTGGTTAAGTCATAATTTATAAATTCATCTCTCTATCCTGTTTCCAAGAAGACACTCAGAGATTGATAACGAGGGTTTCAAAATCTCTACATGTCCCTTTCAGTTTTAAGAGCTGCAAAACCTCTATATTTTCTATATGCTGGTATTTGATATTTGATGACTGGATTTCACGCTGTATTGGATTATCTGTCTGTCAGTTTATTTTTGGAATATTTTTGACTGAAAAACCTGGTGGAGTGAGTGAGTGAATGGACTCCTACTGTAAATCCAGTGGCATCTGCCTTCTAAGGGGCAAATGCCTCTGGAGTCATTACTATAAACAATGAAGGTCATCCACCCCCCGACACATTTATAGGATTTTTATTATTTAGGATTTTACTGTAGTCAAAGTCAGAATGGGAGATCATATAACGATCTTTACATTTTAAATATTAAAGTCCACCATTGCGATACAAAAACAAAAGTGGTGGTTTCTTTTTAACAAATTTTATTTAGTAAATTTTATAACTATAAAATCAGGTAATAAATAGACAAGCTACAGATGCTTGATTTAGAAATGATTTAGAGTTCTCTTTTGCTTAAGAATCAATATTTTGAACCTGCATTTCAGGAACCTTCATAACATATGCATTTAAGCACTAAACAACATGTCATCTCACTGATACTGGGTGATTACAGGATTAGCAGAAGGGACACGATTTGAAAAGGGCTAAATTTTAATGCGATTCCTTCTGAGGTGATGTCTGCTGGCCGTGTGGAGTCCTGTCTCTCCAGCAGGTCACAACTGTTGGTGAAAAAGTTAAGAAAAAAAATGTTTCATGAAAAATTAATCTAACATATGCAGTCAGTATCAATAACAAAAAAAAACACTTACTGCCAGGCTTCTTTCACTGTCAGGGCAGTGGAGAGCATTGCTGTGACACTGCCACCATGTGATTCATAGAGCCGCACTACAAGAGCCCCCTCTCTGTCCTCAGCCTGTTTTAGTAAAAAGTGTAGGTTGAATTTTACAAGTGATTTGAGGGTATTTAATAAATACTTTAGTAAATACTGTTGCAGAACACAGCGTTATCAGAGTAGAGAATGTGTATGCCTGTAGAGAACATCATTTTATTTTGAAAATGTAATATTTTACTTAGCATAGGTCTAAGACCAATTTGCCTGATTTGACTTATACAAACAACAACAACAACGATGCACCAGTGTACTTGTCTCATGGATCAGGACTATTGAATTTCTTCATACCACATGTGAGTCACACTGGGACAAACTCAACTCTTCAGCTCCGCTTTTTTGTTACCTGTTTAATGGTCTCCAGGATTACTGCCTCAGTGCTGACTGAAAAGGCACTCCAGGGCACGGTGTCTGGAGCACACTGTAACAACCTCAGAGGGAAGTTGAGGTTGTAGGCGCTCTGGATCACAGATGCATCTTGAAAGGATCCTGTACCAGACAAAAATCTGAGATTTGAACTCTTGCTCTGTGAAAATTCACAAAATTCACATTCAATATTTCAACATAAAAGACTTATCAAACCTGTGTGTGGCATGATGGCGTAGGTGAAATGGTGTATTCCCATGTCAGCATTGGCATCTGGAGCCTTTGGTGCTCGCAGCCTGAGACACAAAAACTGCTGTTAGAATTACTGAATCGCTGAGTTGGTCGATTTTTGTATTTTTTTATTTTTGTTAATAATCTATTCTGGAACAACCGTACAGCGATAGTGTCATGGTGTTCTTGTGAACCGAGTAGCCGTATTTGCAGTCGTTTAGTAGTGCAACACCAAAGTTGTGTTCTGATAAGTCAGCCCACTTGTGTCCCCAAACCTGTGAGGAAAAAGACGTAATAATGACAAAAGTACACAAAGTTTTTCCAAACTGAACTACTTTGCTTGAGTTTAACAGCATCTTTTGGTCCTACCTCAAACCTGGCCCAGTCCCATGATGTATTTCTGTGCGTGGGTCTTTGCAGATGACCAAACTGGATCTCATAAGTAGCAGCTGAGCTGCGTACTTGCACTGGGAACTCCACCTTCAGAAACTTGTGGGACTCTGCCCACATGACCTGAAAGTAAAGAACATTCAAACACTGGTCAGTTTTGGGTTGTTCATGATTTGATGTCTCTGGGTACTGTTGTGTACTGTACCTCAGTTTCAAATTTGATGTAAGGACAATTGGCATCCATGACAATCTTCTGAGTAATGGTGCTTTGTTCACTGATCCTAAGGCTGAAACTCAGGACCCCTCGTAATCCACCTGAGGACACCACGTGAATGGGATTCTCCACGTTCAGCACAGGCTTCCTATGGGCTCGGTAGTGAGTTAGTAAAAGGCGTTTTAGTTTTCTTTTTTTAGAGTGACTCGTTAAAAAAAAAGTTGTATTTTAGTATTATGATGAGACAAGAGGCTTGGTCTAAAAACCAATTTCAGTCCAGTTCCAGTCAAAAAAATACATTGGTTTTATAAAACAGACTCCAAGCAGCACCTGGTCTGAAGATGGTAGTCCATTACATCCCAGGCATCCCAATACAGAGGGACGTCGTGGAACATGACAAACTGATTCCCCTGAACGTTGTCTGAGATCGCTTCTCTGAAACCAACACAGTGTGTGGACAGGTGTAAGTGTATTATGTTTTCAGTTGTAGGACATAATCATTTTGTCCCAGACTGTTTCACCTGTTTGACTCGATCAAACACAGAGATGCCAAAGTGCCATCTTTGTTCACAACAGTCCGTAAAATCCCATTCTCCATGACGACAGTGCCGTTGGCCTGGAATGTCAACCAGCAAATTAAGTCACTGCAAAGCAGCACCAGTGAGTTACTCTCTGTCTACTTTAAACAAAACACACCTGAACGGTGACGGATACTGGAGTCACGGTCTGTGTGTCTTTGACAGGAGATAAACCAACACTGGGGACGTGCACCAGTGCTGCAAAGACAGGGAAATCAAAACAGCATCAGATGTGAATGTTTTCTGAAAGGAACACAGTATTATGTTAACATATATATATATATCATACCAAGAGCAGGTTTTCCAGCTGAGTCTTGAGTCTGGATGACTTCACACCGTTCCCAGGGCAGTGAGTTAAACACACCAGTACTGGTTCCTTTTGACCCCAGGGCTTCAGTTGCTTCACGCAGCAGCACTGTACCATCTCTAACAATATCTGACGAGACAGTCACATAAAGTGTATCAATCATTATTCAAGATGTGGCTGGATTAAAATAATTAATCAATATTTAAGAAACACATTCCACTAAGAAAAACGGAGAGGAATCTGAGAAGACACGCATTGTGGCTCTGAACAAAAACTGTACCTTCATAATACCTGAGAGCATCCTTCACCACCAGCTCTATACAACTGCCAGGAATCACATCATGAAACTGATTCAGTAAAAGGAGCCTGAATAGAAAACAGGGACACAATTTAAAAACTATACAGTTTAAAAAAGGATATAGAACGAAATATGTAATTAACTTCATCATAAAGCTCTAGTGGGTGAATTGACCTCCAAAGCTCCTGCAGTTTCTCCACAGGATAGTTAAATGTCCTGTCCCGACACAGCACTAAGCTGCTGGCCACCTCCACATCATGAAGGAGGGTCTCACATTGGCGGTTCCCACATTTAATCTGAAAAACAACAGCGATAGAAATGAGCTCAAGTTGAACTACAAGTTTAATTTGTTTTATTTTGTGCAGTGTTTTGGACACATTTATAGTATAGTTTTCTGTTTCTGTGGTGGCCCTGGTGACCCTCACTTAGTGAATACTAAGAATGGGTACAGCTTCTCCAGTGAACTTGGGAAGGATTACGTGGCAGAAGCATCTCCTCAGATGTTTGTCCTACCTGAGCCTGCGTGGTGTAGGTGCCATTATGTAGCTCCAAAAAGAGCTCCCCACTCCAGGTGCAGAGCAGAGCAGAGTCAGTCTGAAGCTGGGTGAAAAGCTTGTCAGGACTGGACATCACAACTCTGAGACACACGAAGGGAGGAGAAAGTAGTTAGCAACATCTTCTCTTTGTTTCACTCTTAGTTTGGTTATTGTTACTAACTATAACACTGACCTTGGGAGCCCATCTGTGTCTCTGACCCGGTCCAGCCTGTCAAGCATCAGCTGTGTGGGTCCGCCACCACCATCACCGAAACCAAACAAGAGGGCGCTGTGATTGGCTCTGCCTTTATCTTTGTTATTCTTTACAGTTTTTACCAGCTGTGGGGAGGGGAACAACAACCGATTGACTTATCTCCTTACAGGCACTAACACTGTTCAAATACACAAACTCACATCTTCAATGTTCCCTTTCATTCCGTAGGAATTTCCTGGAGGGAAATGTGTTAAAACTTTGGAGCCATCCAGACCTTCCCAGAAAAACGTGCTATGCTGTTGCAAGGAGAAAACAAAGGTTAAAAAAAAACAAAAATCAAGGCTTTTTGAACTGTTTTGATGCATGTTCTAACAACAGCACTCACGGGAAAAGTGTTGACCAGGTTCCAGCTCAGCTTCTGTGTCAAAAAGTTAGAAATGCCACAACCTTGCATTATCTGAGGAAGCTGTGCCGAGTAGCCAAACGTATCTGGAAGCCAGAACTAAAGAGTAATAAGAAGAAAGAATGTTAACTATAAAATATGAAGCCTTGATTGTAAATAGATTTGTTTCTGTTTAAGCATTGCTCACCTCCCTGCAGTAAAACCCAAACTCTTGGTTGAAGAAACGCTGCCCCTGAAGAAACTGTCTGACCATAGACTCCCCTGAGGGCAGGTTTCCATCCTGGTAGGCAATGACAGTATATATATATATATGTGTATATATACAGTATGTGTGTATGTATATATGCAGAGAGAGAGAGAGATTTACCATTTCCACCCATGTTCCTCCAACTGGAATGAACTGGCCTTTCTTGACATAATGTTGTATCTCAGAGAAAAGGCCTGGGTACCAGCTCTTAACCCACTGGAACTGTTGGGCCTAGAGAAACAAGCACAATGGTAGAAATTATATTTGTTTCTCAATTCTTACTACTACGATTTGTCAGAGTGAAGTTTACCTGAGAGCAGGTGAAGACAAACTCTGGGTTTTTCTCCATTAAACCAATCACTGTCACCCAGCTGCGTCCACATTTACGAATGGTCTCTTCATAAGGCCACAGCCAGGCTGTGGTTGAATACAGTGGAAACACTTAGTCAACAACACTTCATGTATGAACTGCAACTGATGAAGCGAATTGGTGTCAAGATAGACTTAAACAAAAACTTGTGTTATGTTGGTCACGTTTGTAATTTTATACATTTATTGATTTTATATTTTATATATCTATGTCATAAAAAATATAAATACATAAATAATAATATGAAATACATATGTCATATTTAAGTCATTTTACGTAATACAATTTTTGACTAAAATAATAAAAGTTAATAACAACATGGCAAGTTACGGTTAATTACATTCTTTTCCCCTCATTTAAAAACACAGAGCTCCATATTATGGTATATAATTTTGTAAGTTTAGCTTCTTTCTGGTCAGGGTTGCATTTTAGTACAAATTTTTACCTCACAAAAATAATTTTCACCTGTGTCAATGTGGCAGTGTCCCATTGTGTGGACACAGTGTTGGCTATCTCCATTTTTCTGGCTAAAGAATTTGTGAGCCAGCATGTGTGCCTTGGTGAAGGAGCTGGGGTCACTGGGGTCACAGAGATTGACCATCTCATTCACAGTGAAGAGAGCCTGGTAGCCTCGCTGCTCTTCTTCCCCTAGTTCCTGTCAATGAAGAAACAAGGACTCAAGGAATTGATTCTTTGGTTTTGAATTAAAACCCCAAACTCCAGGGAACATACATCAAAATATTTTCAAATGTACCAGTACCTTCACAATATCAACAAGCATCTCAAAATCCGTCAGTAGCTCCCTGACATCTCGATTAAACACCACCAGCTCAGCTCTCTGTACTGAATACATCTTGTCAGGGTCTGGAGCTCCAATAAAGGTTCCTTTCCCTGCTCCAAAGAGTCCATTACAGGCCACCTCTACATAAACCGTGACACTGATGGAAAAGAGAAAATTCTTCAATATAATAACTATCCAAAAATCCAAAAAGCAGCTGATGTAACTGACCTGTGTGGCTCCTCATTTTTCAGACACTCAGATAGGATGTAGCACGTCTTCTCACCGTCTTTAGTCAGACCCTGCAGGTCAACACAGTATGTTACACAACACCATAAACTGTGGGGCTCCTCCTCTGATGAAGCCAATCATCAGTGAGAACATTTCTACCTGCACTGGTTGTCCATCTCTCCACACCATCGCCTCTCCATCACTCTCCCACAGCAGGTGAACCTCTTTTCCTTCCCAGGTCGTGGGGATTTCTAGCATCACCTTAAACCAACATGTCCACCACCTTAAAGAAGAACCAAATGGGATGAATGACACATTTTATGGGAATTAAAATGAACGAGGACAGTATAACGGTGGCAATATTGCTCACGTCGGTCCAAAGGTCTCGCCGACTTGATAAGGGGTAAAAGTCTGCTGGGAGGCTTCAGCGAAAGAGACTCGTGTAGGACACGAGAAGGAAGCAACTGATTCCAGGGGACAGGAATCTCCATAGAGTCTGCGAAGACAATTGTTCAAGGCAATTGGTCAACTTTACATGTTCAGTCTTTACAAAGTATACAACTTAGACCTTAAGATCATCAAAAGACGAGAAAAGATCCATTTAAACCGTACATGATACTCCAAATATATATATATATATACACACATATATAACAGTTTACTTCACCCGAAAACCTAATAAATTCAGCTAATCAAGACGACCAGTCACTGCCACGAGTGCATTCTGCCCCGTACAGATGGAGGATTGTCACTTCAAATCCCATGACAGGTGTAGTATCAGTGTACAGTACGATGACAAATACTCGCTGTTAAATAAACATACTATAATACTGTCACACAAGGACAACACGCAACTAATAACTTACAAGTCTTACAAGGTAAACTATAGTGTTGCCATAGCATCCAATATTTTTTGCTCTAGGGCAAAAATGTATTTGCAGCATTGGAGTTTAGCATTATTTCTGTAATCTTCACGATTCTTTCTACGGCTTTAGTTAATATGTAACATGTATGTATGTATGTAATATGTTTTGGCCCAAATAAATACTGCATAGACATGTTATACAGTGCGTGTTAGACAACACTAGTTTCTGTTTCATCAGTATGTGATGATTGTTCTTACCGTCCCCTCAGGTTACAGTCTGTGAAATAAATATCGGACACAAACTTCTCCGCTCTCTCCAGCAGAGTCCGTCTGTTCTTCAACACAGGCTGGTGATACATCGTTCAATAAGTATAAACATGCAGGTGTTTGTTTTTTTTCCTCTCCAGGTACAGGTCAGAACAGAGCTGACCAGGAACTATTCACACACGCAGGACATGGACGAACCGCTATGATCAGCTTCCTCTTCTACGATGACAGACTGAAGAGGCCACTGTGTAGTACTGCCCCCTTCAGTCTGGATTAAAAATAACACTGACTTGAATGGTTATCTGTCGACACGTGAGTAATGACTTCTGTCTTATTTTGTTGTTTTAAATGTGCGCCTCATACTTGAATCTTTTGCGTTTGATTTAATGTAAACCCTTATTATTCGCTGACGGTTCCGACTTTGTTCGTCTTTTCAATTAATTTGTTCAATGCTTCATGACCTTTGTTCAAACTGCAAATATTGTCATTTTAGTGGTACCCAACCACTAGATGGCAGCCCTTGTCAACAACTGGTATTACTGTAGCCTCTAGGTGACGTTCACTGTTTTAACCGCGGTAAACATAACAGGCAATCGTTAACAACTATTACAGATTGTAATTGAGATTGAAACGATCCAACCCAGTCTGACCAGAGTCTTTAGGCCTCAAACAGTTTACAGTGTACATGCAGTGTAAACAGCATTGTCAGTAAATTCACAGGGATGGTCACTTTAGATATTTAGACCCCGAGAAATATATTTTAAGTAGTAAATGGGTATACTCCAGATAATTCCAGATTATCCAGGAATACTTTTAGTGTCGTTGCCATGCAAAGTCATGTACATTTTAACCTTGGAGGTTACACATATATTTCTTCTTTCTGTAACCAAAAGGCAAAAATTTTTTTTTTACTTTTTTGTGAGCAAATTGATATTAAATTATTTCTTGAGGAACATCAATTCACTCCCACAATTCAAGTATGTAAAGTTGGTGTTTGGAGTCCCAAGGTGTTAGTCTTGACAGACTGGTGACCAGGGTCAGGGGGCGGTCCACATGGGTCATGAAGATTCAAGAGCCATTCTTTTGCAGTAGGGTTCCCGTGCTGGCAGCTGCATAGTTCTGTGTTCGTACCGAATTTATTATAAAAATCCATAGAGCAGTTCTAACTACAGGCTTGGTAGTGGTGCAGCCCATCCCTCTCACACCACCCTACCATCAAGGAGAAATGTTGACTCCCTAATCCTCGATTGTTTGGTTTGTGGTAGGAGTTTTCACTACCAGTGGGCAGCAGGAGGGAGATCATCAGAGCCGTGGTGATCCTTGACCTGCAGATTCCCACTGGTTCTGTCCGGGACTTAATGCGTTGGTCTGGAAGCATCAGGGCTCTCTTCTCATAATGTTGACCACATCATGACAGATAAAGGAAGGTTAGAGAGGGCGGCTGTTCCTCTTGTTTACAGGAAGGAGTCATGCAGCCATTTAACAACATTTGTAATGTCCATCATGAAGATTTATCATAGGCTTCTTGCCACAACACAAAGAAAGTCCAGACTATGGCCCGAGAACAGAGGGCTTCCAAAAACCAGAGCAGTTTACAAACAAATGGGATTTTCTTAGACGTCAACTCCCTGGAACTAAAAGTCCACTCTGACCCAGAGGTCAGTTTCACATAATAATAAATTGAAGGACAGTCAAAGTTCTCCTCCAGTATATACTTTTACATTATCTTTCTTTAGTGCGTTGCATTGTTTCACATCAGTAGCAGATCTAAAAAATGTCTTATTATTCCAGTACAGAGTTTGTTTTTTTTGTTTTATTTGGAATGTTAATTAATCATGATTCATTGTGATTAGTCATGATTAATCCACATACCCTGTGATTAATCACATGAAAAAAATGTAATTGTTTGACAGCCCTACCTTCAAAATTCTAGAGATGGCTTTCAAATGTCCAAATGAGTGATTACAGCAGAGGTTGAGCAAAATAAATGTACATAAAAAGAAGTACTTTAAAGTTTTCAGATGTATTAGATCTAGACATTTTCCATATATTTCCTATTTGGTCTTTTATTTTCCCACAGTTTTTTATTAACTTAATTAGCTACATCTCAGTATTTATGCTGGAAAAACAATATTTAATTATACAGAAACAAAGGGTTGAGCAAAATAAATGTACATAAAAAGAAGTACTTTAAAGTTTTCAGATGTATTAGATCTAGACATTTTCCATATATTTCCTATTTGGTCTTTTATTTTCCCACAGTTTTTTATTAACTTAATTAGCTACATCTCAGTATTTATGCTGGAAAAACAATATTTAATTATACAGAAACAAAGCATTTCTGTAGAAAGTACTCTCCAGGGTGCCTCTCGTGTTTTATAGAAAACCACAATTACACATAGTAGTATCCACGATTTAATTAGCAAACAATAACAATATTTAATTATACAGAAACAAAGCATTTCTGTAGAAAGTACTCTCCAGGGTGCCTCTCGTGTTTTATAGAAAACCACAATTACACATAGTAGTATACAGTATATAATCCACTCATCACACTGACAAGGCTAAGCGTGGCACAAGTGACTCAACCTTCCCCAACACTCCTGAATGTTGAGGGCACAACCCCTAAGAAAGCCATTCACTCCTTCTGTAATCTCTACATGTACAGTTTAATTAAGGTTAACCAGTCTCTGGAAAGGTCCTACAATCTTCCAATTTATATATATATTTATATCTCAGCCTGTAAAGTCAATAACAGAGAGCACTCCCACCCCCCACTGCCTCCTTCGCTCAATTAGTTTGGCTATTTTGGCTTAATTTTGGGTGTGTAACACAGATACCAGGACGAGAAAATGATTCTTAGAATTCATCATGTCGATTGTTTCTACACAAGAAATGTGGTCCAGGGCTCCCAACATCCACGTGTGTTCTATGGATTTTATGGCTAAAATTTGTAATTAACTAAATAAAAAAGAGAATAAAACGTGGCTTGACCATTTGTTTGCAAACCAAGTTTCCCCCTGTCAAAGTTGGTTGGTTTTGTGGCGACTTTTATCTTCATCTTCATCCTCTTCTCCTAGAGAATTTATTGTAACTTCTTTCACATCAGCACATTTTGTTTTGTTAAACCTTTTCAAAAGAAAAACCTTTAGTTTTCTGGTGTCAAGTCCCTGCGTCGTACCAAGGCTTCCATTGGATGATTCAGGTTTCAGTCACAAGCAGTAACCAATCAACCTTAACAATAAACAATAAATAAATAAACAATTTTCTAGGCCACTGTATAAGTCAGTCACGTGATGTCCTTCAATAATATGAAGAAATGAGCACAATAAGACTGAAGTATAATGCTTTTATTGAGAGTAGTATCTGAAAAGAAGCTATTGTGAACATCTGTACTGACACATTGTCAGTGGTATGTAGAGCATTTCGCTTGGGTTTGATGCATTTCTACCTTGTAAAAGATGGATATTTTGAGGTTTCACCACAGTTACCAGATTGCAGGAATGTGCTGGTATAAATTTGATGGATGTTCAGCACCAGACAGCCATTTCGTGCAGCCAATTCTCCCGTCCTGCAGTTTCCATGGCCAAATGTTAAAGAACCTGCTTCAGCAGAGATCAGTTCCTGCCGACTGACTGAAATGGAATAAGTATATATACAAGGAACCAGAAGAACCCATCGTAAATGAAATCATACCAGGGTCATTTTCTGGTATAAAACCAATCATTATGTCTGTCTACTGGAAGAATACTTAAAATATTAAATATAATTTCAAAAAGCTTTGGTTGGTCAAACAAATGCAGGGTGTGTCTTCCAAATGAGTCTTGGCCGTACTACTGACGTCTGCTTTTAGAAAGTGACAAAACGTAAGTCTGAGCTATGCTGGGAATCTCTTTAGTCTTCCCATTCCATTGGCAAAAGCCAAGGATGTGGAGAGGCCTTGCTGTGTGGTTTCCTGGGAACAGAAGCCGGAGAGAGACTACCATACTTAGTCAGAGGAACGTTTTCCTTGATTACCGTGTGAGTCTTCTTCTGATTCATCAAGGCTTTTGTCAGAGAGCGGTCTAATTCAAAGGCCTCGTCCGTTGGCCGTGCATTCAGGATGCTCCTGATTGTCGACAGGGCTAAGTCTGATTTACAGTCCAGGTAGCTCTTGAGGTTGAGCTGGGGAAACACTGAGTCTCTGAGAGTGTGAACCAGCTGAGTCTCTGTGTGAGACTGTTTGAGCTGCCGGACAATTCTCTGCTCCAGCGAGACGTAGCAGAGGGCATCTTCAGCCAGACCTTGGTTTCCCACATAGTGGTTGGTCTGGCTTTTTTTCTTCAGGGATTGCTTCATCATCTGGTGTTTAGACTTGGGTAGAGTCTCACCCTGCTGGTACTTGTGGCTTTTCTTTGTGCCAGTGTGGTGCTTCTCTGGGCCACTCGGTAAGAGCTGATGGAGGCCTTCATCAGCCAAGTCTGCGAGGTCGCCGACCAGCAGCTGCTGAAGGATTCGCTTCCTTGTGAGTGGTGATGAGACTGTAGGGGTGCCTTGCATCCCTCTGCCTGCATCAGACATACAACCAATCACAGTATGTTAAACTTCCACTCTGTGAGACGATAGGTGGTAATGACCCCGACACGCAGCAACAACAAACAACAAACAAAAAGGCTGTCGGACAGAGTTAGAGACAAAACTATTGGCCCACTGTTAAAATGTAATTATTTATTTTATTTATTTCCTTATTAAAACCTTTTTTTTAATTTTTTTTTACTACTTTTCCTTTATGCACAACATTGGTTAAACTGTTTCAGCTTTAGTTATATAGTATATAGTTATGGCATTTATAGACATGCAAGGTAAAAAAAACTAGGGCTAATAATTATGTTCCTTACAGTACAGAAATGTTCCATAAGAGAAACATAGTTCTGAGAGGAAAATCTTTGGAATGAACATGTATATACCAGCTCTGCAATGTACAGGCCTAAAAACAATACTCCGTGGTAAACCAGCAAAACCACATAAAAGTAATCCTTCATGGACTAACTTATGGGCTGCAGACATGCTCATTATGTCAGAAAAAGGTTCATCTGTTGTGTCTGACGAGAGTGACGGTCTATTTTCGCCTGTCAATCAGCTTTAGGGACAGCTAAGAATCACATGAACATACAAGCTCAGCCAGTAGCAGGTAACATCACACACACCGCAGCCTGCATGACGGTGCTGCGTTTTGCCGACCAATGAGTAAATGCTCATGTCAGTAAACCCTTGATTAATGCAGTGCAGTGGCCGTATCACTGTGTGTATGACCTTTGTACCGTATACTTTGACATACCTCCTTTAAATGATGTCAGGACGATACGACTGTCAGGGAGCTGCGGTTTCCTGTAGTTGCCATTCAGTGGTTCGGGGGCTGAGTCCTGGGCATGGGAGGAGTACAGGGTTGTAGCCATAGCCAAAAACTAAAAGAAAACAAAAGAAAAGAAAAGAACATTGACCGTGTACATTATCAAATCTGGTAATGTTTTCTAACACATAGGTTATCAAGATCACTAAGTGCTGTATACAGAAAAAAAACATTGGAGTTGGATTCTCCAATTTATCAAGCCTGCTTTTCACCTTCTCATGTGCTCACAATACCTTTACAAGTACAATGCAACATGGCCATGTTTACACTTTCTATAAGGTCCATACTATTCCAGGTTGTTAGAAAGGAGGCCCTAGATATACTGAAGGGTCATGTTCCATATGATTGTTTTTGTCATGATTTGAGCAGGTTAGTTGACGATCATTTTGTTTTGCATTGGACCAAATGTTCTGTGACAGTTCAGTGATTCCATGTAGATCATTCACCACTTCATACAAAAAATTAAGCAATCTTTTTGTTGTGCACCTGTTTGCGAGAGATTGTCACGGGGTTTCGGAAGATGGTCCACAGTACACTGGGGTAGCACGGTGGAGTGGTCAGTGACCCGTCGTAACGATAATACTCGTCCAGATGTGCAGGAAGAAGTGCTCGGACATTGAAGCCGGGCACTTGTAGTTTTTGATCTGCATCAAAAACAACAACAATATCTAATTGTGATTTATTATATTTTTATGTGTATTTTACTGTGTTGCCCGATTTATTATGACGGTGCTGCAGTTCATTTTCACTGTTATTTGGTGGGTCATAATATTTTTTTCTCTAAATATAACTTTCTGACCATTAAGAATATTGGTTAAAGGGCGCTACTTTATGACTTACCTCTGTATTTAATCCCATTGATGAATCTAAGAAACTCTTCAAAGGCAGGATTGAATTCTCCGATCTACACAGGAAACATCACAGTCAGGTGGATCAGTGGATATATTTTTACAGTTACTCTCCTCTGTAGACCAAAGAGTCTGACCTCGATCAGGACGCCCAGAACTGCCAGGCCGTCAGATTTGTCCACAGCCATGGAAATGTTGGGGTATTTGTCTGAATTAAAGTGAACCACGTGCATCTGTGGATGGAAACAAAGTCCAAAGGGAAATTAATAAACAAAGCAGTGTGTTGTTTAGTGTGACATGTTTTTCGAACACAGCAGGTGTTTAATGCATTTAAAAACAACGTCTGTCAGCTTCAGGGAACAAAATATGTGTTAAAAGACAAAACAAAAGCACATGGGACATGAACGTTGGCGATTTGCTGCTGTGGATGTTTAAAAATATATTAGTCATTATAAACGCTCAGCCAAGTGACATGATGTTGGCTGAATATCAGGGCAAACTCGTACAGCCTCTCTTCGTTTCCTTCTCTTTTTTCTTTTGAAAAAAACTTTAATTTCCCATCATCCTTCAATTACAACCTGTCATCATGCAGCTGTGGTTCTGGAGTCAAGTGGGACCTTGGAAAAGGTCCAAACTTTTGACGTGTCCTCTCTCTGAAAGTTAGGGCTAAACCACAGCAGTTTACAAGTGACTCAGCTGCAGCTGGGTCATTCAAACACACAACCTTGAAAGTTTGAAACCACCGTCATTCAATTAAGGCCATATTGTCAGTATTAGGCAATAATGCCTGTAGAAAAAAGGAATGGAAGACAAAAAAGGAGGGAAAAAAACTGTGAACCTGTCATGTTCAATCAAAATTCACACAGGTTCAGATAAAAAAAGACTGAAATGTTCTTTTTTTAGCTTCTCAGATAAAACTGATAGAATGCAGCATCTCCACTGCCGTTAAGTCATTTTTCACTATCTGTAGCATGTCTTCTCTATGGAGGCGGACATTAATAATGTATTGCTATTGGCTTAGCATAGAAAATAAGAGTTAAAATATTTTAAGTAGTTTACAAAAAACTCCTGACATTGAATTAAATTCAAACATTTCCAGAGATGGTTAAAGAAAAACAGAGCAAGTCATAATCTGGTGCAATGATTCCTTTTTAAACTCCTTCAAAAGTCACTGAGACAAACTGAATAAAGTGTTTTTTTTTTCTGTCATTTATTGTGTGGTAATTGCCTTAAAGGTCATGTTAACCCCAAAATGTGAACACTTTACAGCTACAGTAGTTAGAATGTTAGACTCAGAACCTGTCACACGTCAAAGCTGTCCGTCTGTAATGACTGTGTTTTACGTAATTGCTCTCTACTGCATGACAAACCAAAAACAATCTGTAAAGTCAGCTTTTTTTTTTACATTGTGTTGTGGTTAGAAACACTAAATAGTTCTGCCAGTGTGAAGATGCCAGAGCAGAGCCTTTGGCTTAGGCAGTGTCTGTGGAACTGTGTGGAAATGACTGGAGTCGGCTTCTACATCACTTAGTATCCAATCATTTGTCTGGCGCCAGTGATGTTGTCGACAGTGATGCGGATTACTGAGATTTCTGTTTAAGTTATTCAGTTTCGATTTATACTATATAGTAGACTTTGGAAAAGCCTGACTGAAAATGTCACTCAAATCACAACATTTTACATCACCATCATAGAATGACAAAGTCATTTCTAAGGCTATTTGATATATATACAGTATGTATTTATACAGTATGTATTTATACATGTATATATGTATTTATATATGTATGTATATATATGGCAAATATATTTATACATACACACACATATGTATCTATATATTAAAATATATATGGCAAATATATTTATACATATACACACATATATATCTATATATATATATATATACACACATATATATATTAAATGTGTTTTTTTATATATAGGTTTTCTACATAGATTTTAATTCCATCTACCTCTGTTGCGTACTGTTTACCGTTGACCGTATGCTCTGAGCCAGCAGGTCTGCTGGAGGAGCCCCAGTGGAAGTGGAGCTGAGCTGCGGTGTAGCGATGAGGGAGGCTGGAGATGTGCATCTTAGAAGGCAGAGAGATCTGCACTGTGGATCAGAACATCAGAGCAGGGTGAGGATCCAACACACAACGTCCTTGTTGCAGTTAAATGACTTCAACATAACAGAGTGACGCAGGCTGTTTGGACACGTCGTCTTTGTGTGGCATCTGCTGATGGTAGAAAAACGGTGACTCGGTGAAAATGTCACTCTGTTTGTGGTGGCCATGTTTGTCACGCCGGGATGTAATCATTTGTCTGGTTTTTAAAGTCTGTATGTGGTGTGTTGACCTGGACAAGCATTTAACTGTTCAGCAACAGAATGAGCATTAGCAAACAGTGTGCATTCGACACTACTGTTTAGCACAGTGACTACTCAGGTGATATTTGATATCATGCCTGTTGGTTTATCGAGATATTCTATGGTTTTTAGTGGTGTGTCAATCGACAGGGATACTAATCTTTGCTTGCCTTTTTTTTATATAAATATTTATTTTGCAAGGGATTGTTTTGCAAATATATGTAGGAACACCAATATATACCAATAAAAACATATTTAATAGGTGGCAGTGGCTGGAAGTGTACAGTTCATAGGTGCAACAGAGCTCGGTGCTATAACTAGCTATAGGTTTCAATTAACAAATTCACAACCCAATAGAAAATGATTCTGTTCTTCTACCATCAACCCATGCAGCACCAACTGTAAAACATAAATAAATACTTGAACAAGGCACATATATATTTAATATAATATAACAATAAATAAATGGCCAACTTTAAAGAGAAATCGTGTTCTTTTGTTCAGAGGCATCACATCCATGACTCAGCAGTGCAGATGAGTAATGTCTGCTCATATTTTCCCAGACTAAACACGAACGCTTTCTTCTGGGTATAAAGAACAGTCAGGATAATAAGAGAGTGATTATGGAAAATTACTGTGGCAAATGTAGAAAGCCGATCCTCCTGTCATTTTCTTTAAGTTGACCCAGAAATTAGGCTTTTAGAACAAGAACGGCATCTTTGCATGTTTATGCGGGGCCACCTCTAATGAATATGTGGACAAGTGTTTTGATTGCGAGTACATCCAGATCAAAATAACAATGCGGACTGCTGTCACGTGTATGCCTGTTGGTGCAGGGTACTGTTTCCTGTAATATCCTCCAGTTGAATTACGTGATTTCAGTCAGTGGCTCTTCCAGCACAAGGACCCTGATCCTAATTTATGTTTAAGAATACATATACTTATAAGCATGAGAAATATTTAGAAATCTGATTATTCTCAGCTTTCTTTTAAATACATTTTTAAAATTATTTTAATTTGATATTTTATTATTTTATTTTATTTTATTTAATTTTAATTTGATATTTTATTGTTTTATTTTATTTAAAGTGGAAAATTCCATTGAATGAAACATGTTTCATTTTTGTCCATAAGGTTTGATGTTGCACTGACTGTGATGGATAACACATTTTTCATGGATAATGGATAAATACATTTCTGCAATGAATAATCTAAAAATTTGTGATTGATCTGGTTTAAATCTTCAAATCTCCCATTAACAATGTAATGCATTACAATAACCAATACTTTCATTAACCATATAAGTCACTTTTTGTGGTTGACAGTTCTTACTCACCAGAATGTCCATTGTTTCCTAGTGTGAGCAGCTCGCTGTGCGAAAGAATGTAGTTCTGAACTTCAATTGGTCGCAGGGTTGGGTCGAACATGAGCAGCTCTGACTTGATGTCTATTGGAGACTGAAAAGCTCCACCACAGTATGGATAGTTCCTAGACCAGTGGTGCTCTCCATTCAGCCCTGCAGCAGCACCAGTGCACAACACGGCTAGTTAAACAGACTATCTAATAAAATACAGGGTTAGAAATGATGATGTCTCCATCAGTCTCCTGGTGTTAATCTAAACATTGAACTGCTCCACAGAGGGTGAGTGTTTGACCTGAGCTACTGAACATTTGATTTGTAACCAGAGAGAGGTATAATTAGCTATGTACAAACAGCGTGGGGTTTGACCTGTGGTTTTTGAATGACGACCTGGCTCTTGTTTGCACGGACGGCCACTGAGAACGAGGTCTCTCGGCTAATGAGAGGGTTTCTAGACAACGTAGGACGGCAAACAGGCACTTTTTGCAAATCAAGTCATGTTGTAAACAGAGTGATCTCAGTCACGTGCTGTCATCTATACCACACTGTTTTTGCTTAAAGGTGACGTGCTAAATAAAGACAATGTTCTTCTCTCTCTGTTGGTTACCACCGGTGGACTGGACTGGTGTGTCTTATTTTCACAGCATTGCTTTTTTCTTCTTTTAGGCCAAATCAGGTCGAAGTATTTCGGATGGAGCAGGTTAAAGTAAAGCAGTGTTTCTCAATTTTTTTTTCTGTAGAGCCATATTTTTTAAAAAGTCACAAACCTTTGTGACCCAAGTCAATAGACATTATTCGTAAACATGATGCAAGACCACCCAAAAAATATTTCTTCAGTCTTTGGGAAACAATGCAGTGAAGGATCATATGTCGTCATTACATTGTAATGTAAAGTCTACTAATCCATCAGAGATTGTGTTGTGTTGTAGTGGGCTTGATTCAGTGCATTTGGAACTGAGAGACATGTTGATGAAAGGTACTGTCAAGTGTTCGGCAGTTGTCATGTGTGACGTCGACCCCCAGTGGTCTGGAGGAACTGAGTGCAAAAGCTATTGAGGAAAAAGCACTGAGCAAAAAAAAACTTTTAATTAGTTAATGTCAGTGGGGAGAGTGTGAGACTTACCATTGTATGTCCATTTAGCACCTGAAAAACAACAAGAAGGAAAATGTTACTACTAAATGCAAGGTGAAAAAGCAGAAGGTGTTAATCTGAGTGGAGCCAGAAATGAGACCTTACCATGCAGCACAGCAGACAGCTGTAGAAGAAGGAAGGATATGACGCTCAGAGGAAGCATCTTCATCCTCTCAGCCCACTCCGATGATGATGATGGAGATGTTAGCCCAGTGCAGTGCAGGAGCTTGAATGTTCCAGCCTGCGAACAGACTTATATACTCCTGTTGTCAGCTTCATTGTGACCCACAGTGACGTCAGAGCAGCAACAAAACCACCCTCCGGAGTCACATGATCACAGCTCAACAAGCCAAGCCACTCATTTCGACCAGCTTTGGGCTCAGATGTGCAGATGAGTGCGGGGAATGCTAAGAGGCACTTGTGTCGCTAGTGTGACATCACAGTGGAGACTGCTGCCGTTCAAGTTTAAACAAAGAGTTAAGACAGCGGTGAAGTCAGTGACCAGATACTGACAGACGGATGAGCTTCAAACAGTATGAACTGTTCAGTGTGGGCAAGTACTAACTGATCTAACCACTCGCTTGGCTCAGATCTACAAACACTATTTTCTGAAAAAAAAAGGTTTCTAAAATTTAAATTCTTTATGTGGTAATGCAGTGAAACCTTTATTCATACATGACTCCCAAATATTTATATTCTAATAGTTTGTCATTTGTGTTAAATGATTGTCTTCATGTCGTCTCGTGGTGGAACATGTCTCTACATTAGTGGCACTTTCACATACATTCAACTCCTCTGTACCATCAAAGGTGGCTGCTTTTTGTTCATCAAAGTAAAGTAGTGAAAAGCTGTTACAGAGTTTTGGGTCACTGGACTGACACGTGTGAAGAGTTTTGGGTCACTGGACTGACACGTTTATGAGTACCTGTCTGAGTGTTTATATAAAGCGTTGTACCCTATACTTATACTTGTATCAGTGTTGGTGCATCCCTTATTTTCACTCCTGATTCCTGACAGAATAACCAATACAAGATGGATGGGTGGTTAAAATACCAGACCAGGTTTGGGTAGCAGTCAAACCTTGGATTATTTTAGCCAAGACCACACTAACCAAGACCAAGTCATTACTGAGATGAGAGTGTGCACAGGATCAGATCAAGATTAAAGAACAAGGACAGGTCAAGACTAAGACTAGTGAACCTAAACTCAAAATCCAATATGGCTGTTCAGGGACTTGGCTACAGAGTTTAATATTTGTTATAATGTATTTAACATATCAGATATATTAGCTGGACTTGGATTGATTTTGTTAGATTTTGATACTATATATATATATAACATGGAATACTCGTATTTCGGGAAGCTATCGTATCTAGGGTGTCCACTGTAATTCCGAAAATCCGATAATGAAATGTACAGTAATGTGACCCATTTAGCCTGTGGCTAAATTCATTTCTAGCTTGTTTTAACACATCATATCACCTACTTCTTTACAGCCAATAAATGCACATGGTGAGACACGACACAACGTGTGAGGATGTACAACCTAGCTAACACTGACGTGTGACAAACATCAGTATGATGATTGCACCGCAGGTTACAGGGGTAGAACCAAAATTCTTTTCAGAATTATGTTTATTCAGATGAAATCAGAATGGAAAAAAATCACAATGTGGTTTGAAAATATATTATAAAACAAAAAAAAACAGGAAGAAGTCTCTTCCTGTCATTACCACTACTGTCTAAAGGTCGTTACGACAACACACTCTCATTGTAGTTTACAACCGTCACACAGTCCCAGCAGAGACAGGACAAGGACAAGCAGCAAGATGAAGCACCTGTTGCTTTTGGTGTTGGCTTTTGTTGCAATACACGTCGACTCCTCAAGGATTCCAGGTGAATCAAAATAACTTCTTATCAATGTTTTTGTATGTAGCACCTTAAGCAAAAACGATACAGCAGGGTAGAAGTTAACAGAGCATTCAGACTCTGGGGAAATGAAAAAAAATGTCTTACAGAGGAGTTGTAAATATATAATGTCGTTTACAAATTTTATCCTAGGGTTCGCGCCTAGAGGAAATGTAGTTGAAAATGTAGTTTTCCCTAGGGTTCGAGGAAATGTAGTTGAAAATGTAGTTTTCAGATATAGATGTATAAAAAATACAATCATGATCAGCACTTTCTGAGCAATATGGCACGCTTAGGAGTTCATGTCTTTCAGTTCCGGGCTTGATTGAAATGAATCTCCTCTGAGACAGGAACTATATCCAGAGAACATCAATTCCAATAACCTTATTTCAATACCCTTATACCCTTATACATATATAATATGTTTGGTTGTAGGTTGTACCTGTTGATGTGGTTTACCTTTTCACTCTTTTTGTAGACATGCTGTAACTTGGAAGTTCAAAAAAAAAGATGGTCTTGATCTGAAAGCAGGGTGTTACTATCATTTACTCTGCAGAAAATGTTATTTACACACTTTTACTGCTTTTAGCCTAGCTGACTGGACAATATCTGCTCTGTAATTCCCAACTTTAAAAACTCAGTCTGAGCAGATGGTTATTAGCACGGTGAGGTAAAACTGCTTTGCTGTACAACTGTTATCTCCAATAGAAAAAAAAAGTACAGCAGGGACGAAATTCATTCATTCGTTAAATTAATTAATTAGGTTTTCCTCCAATTCAACAGCATTATGGCTAAACTGACTAACTTGAAACCACATTCGACTTCTGTGAAATGTGAAAAGAGTAGGCGGACTGAGCATAAACTGCACTTTTTATTGCTCTCATAAAATGAGGGAGTGGATCTCGGTTAAGCATTAGTCTTGACAAACAGTGGTATCTGTCCATGGTTTCTGCTGAAGGCTTTATCAGTTACAACGTTCACTTCACCAGCCCTACTATAAAAAAAACTAGATATTAATTGCCTCAAAATCATAGCACTCTATTAACTCTCTTCTCACTCATTTAAATCATCCCACAGAATTATGTCAACTGCCTGAAGATGCTGGTGAGGGCCAAAGCTTCATCTTTGCGTTCCATTATAACGCGGCCCAAGATCAGTGCAATCCCTTCGTATTCAAAGGAAATGGAGGCAACGCCAATCGTTTTGTAAATGAAATAGAATGCATTAGAAACTGTTCTGTCAATGCTGAGAATATCTACCCCATGGATGGTAAGTTTGTTTTATGGACTTCAAAGGTTATATATATATCGAATATTATGGGAAATTTCCCTTGTTCCCTTGTCTATTCATGATGTGTTAGATGTCTGCCACCTGGTGGTAGCAAAAGAAAACTGGTCAATTTCTTGATATACTTAAATTTTGCACTCACAATCACACCTCTGCCTAATATTTTTCTGGTTATGACAACGGGGTAATTCCTGTCTCTTCACAGCGGTAAAGGCTTGCCATTTTAAAAAGGCCATCGGTGGTTGCGGACTTCAGTTGATGAGGTACTACTATGATTCGGTTCACGACAAATGCAAAAAATTCATTTATTCCGGTTGCATCGGCAATGGAAACCGATTTTTCGACCATGAAAGCTGCAACGCCACATGCGCCGGCATCCACGGTGAGCCTCAAAAGTTCAAACCGATGCCTGTTTCCCTGTTAATCAAGGTTTATATGTTAACTGACTAACTTTCTCGGTTTAAGATGATGGTGATGAACCTGAGGAGGATGAACCAGACACACCAATTGGTGGGTAGATACAAAACACAGGTTTTTACTCACAATTGAAAAACAATCCTAGTTTTAAATTATCTGATGTCCTGTATACATTTCAACGACATAAAGTGTTGTGAATTATTTTACCTTTTTAAATGATCTTCAACGCTGTTTTCCTCACAGCAATCATCTGTGGCGTTTTGCTGGCTGTTATCGTCCTCAGTATCATCATACCTGTGATCGTTTTGACTGTTAAGTCAAAGTAAGTTTTCAATTTTAAAAAAATAAAAACAACTTTGTATTCAATTATTACCTGTAATTACAAACTTTTTACTTTGTTGTATTGAAGGAAAAAGGGGTCAAAGAAGAAGACGCCGAAGGAAAGGAATGCTCAGCAAGATCCCCCTCTTTCAGGAATAGAAATGCAATAGACAATTGTATCACCTCAACATTTTTACTAGCTTGGATTTGTCCTTAAACATTTGTTGCCAACACATCAATTATGATTTTTTTTCCCATTTACCTACAATTTTGTATATTTTATGGACTTAGAGTTCATCAGCTAGAAGTGATTAAATCCAATCTGGAAAATCTTAACTACATATGCAAAGTGGTATTCTTTCATTTTTATTTTTAAACTTTTCATATTTCTTTAACTTTTCCCATAAAGTCAATATGTTTGTGTGTGAGTGTTGTTGTTTTAATTTTAATCAGATTAGGGGTTTAAAATGAATCAGCAAAAGGCTCTTTGATTAGACATCTTTAAGATTGTAGTGAAAGAAACATTGTTGTTTAGAAAAACATCTTACGTAACAGATCAGTATTTTTTTTCCCAATGACTTGACTTTGTTTCTTGTAGTTAGAAAGACTGAATTAAATTCTGACTCTCCTTGTTGGCTTGAAATGTGCAAAATGTAATATGATGTTCATGTAATTGTTCTCTAAACTGTTGTGTCACCACCAGGCTCATAGTTGTATCAGGGACTGTAATTTTTTTACATTGAAAACCAAGCAAATAAATCTGGAACAGTGTTTTCCATTTTTTTACATGGGACCTACTGACTATTTGTGTGTGTGTGTGTGTGGAATACATCTATATATATAAAAAAAAAATGTTGTAATCTGCTGCCAGAATTTGACAAATGTCTGTCAATAGTTGCATAATTTGTAATGAACTGAATTCCTATGTCGATTTATGTAATAAAAAACAAAAACAAACAAACAAACAAACGAAACCCAAAACTCTCAGGAGCATTTGTAGCAGCCATTTTATTTCATTTTTATCATGCATCTTGATGTATAGACATCAGGCCTATATATATAATGTATAGGTCAAAAATAACTCCACGTACATTGAATTTGAAGACGAATTATTTGTATTTGTAATTGTATTTATGGAACTATTGGCACTAAGTTGGTATTTTTTAAATGGTCGTGAACTGAAACCAAAGGCCACGAGCAGCGCCTGGTGGCGTTCAAGAGAAAGCGGAAATAGTTCTCTGCAATATATTTTCTCCCATCTATTTGGCAATGGGCCGAGCCGGCAGACGTCACGTCATATCCGCTAGTTTTTCCATTTGTTTTTTTACGCACGGCAGCGGTGTACTGTGACAATTTACACCATAGACAAAGTCACTGTGTCATTTTGCAACACGTTAGACTAAAACGTGTCATCGCCTTTTCTCTGTACACTTTGTTTTTATGGTTTGAGCGAACAGTGACACGGCAGTGTGTCGGCGTTAGCACAGACAGGAAAACGTGTATCTTCGGTGAGGAGTTCTTGATCAGCTAACATTAGCTGGCTGCGTTAGGTAAATAAACACACTTTAATTAATATTGGCTGGCGTGTGCGTGCAGTCGTGTTGAAAAAGGTCGGCTGAGTCATTCTCTGCCGTGACTGATGGAGTGCCCTCACCTGAACTCCAGCCTGAGCTGTGCTGCTGATTCGCCCGTGTTTCCTAACGGTGCTCCGTCCTCTTGGTGCTGCAATGGTAAGTACTACAATGTTTACACTGTTCGATTTTTCTTTTAATACCACACCGTTCAAGTTGAGCCTGTGTCCCAGACCTTGAAGTGGCAGCTATAGGGTTTATACAGGTTTTATATAATTTCTTGTCTGGCTGTTCAAGAGTCAACTTTGCATCAGTCAAGTGAATATCTATGAAATATTTAATGGCACATTCAAAAGCACTGCAGCGTGTTGTGTGGCGTCGTGAATTAATCATGTATCTTTTGTTTTCAGTTTGTCGGTCTAATAAGAGTCCGTGGATTTGCCTGTCCTGTATGATGGTCCATTGTGGAAGGTGCGTATCAGCAAACACACGGGAACCAGACTTAAACAGAACTTTATTTTGCTCAGTGTGTTCAAATTAAACACTATTTGCAAAACATATGTTTGTTTGTTTTTTTTACCTAAAGTGACTCAGTTTTGACATCGTTAATTCACTGTGGTCCTAACTCTCATGTGTCTGATATACGATGTCCTTGAAACATGAATTTGAATGGTCAAGTCTGAATCCATGTATCTTTTTGTATGCTAACGTTAGCAGCACAAGATCCAAGAGAATTGCATCTGGAAGGTTTTAGCTAGAATTCTGCTAGTTAAAGTTTGCTCCCATTTAAAAAATCTGTGTTTGACCTCTGTGGCCTACGTGTATTTGCTGAGTTTCTCATCTTCATCATCTGTCTCACGTCCCCACCTACCTGTCTGACCACATTAGAGTCCAGACAGAACACAGAGGTCAAATAGTTTACAGGGCTGAACTGCGCACAAGTGTGAAGAGTTTAGAGTAGACTCCATTTTCAAATTCTGACTGAAGTCAACTCTAAATAAATTGTTGTGTAAAATAATCACAAATAATTCAAAAATAAATTACTTGCTTTCAGCTCAATTTCTAGGATTTGTAATTAAATAATTTCTCTTTGTATTCCCATTTTCTGCTTTGTGACTAACATCTATGGTTTAAAGGTTCAAAGAAAACTCGTAAAATATTTAAATAATAGTTATTTAACCAGATTAAATTTTAATCAAGCTGAATAATACATTTTTAAAGTTTGTGGTTAAATTTAGTAACTGAGTAATAATTGATGACCTGCTCAAGCCAATAGCTGAGGGTCTGTTTCTTTCCCCAGAGGGGGAAATCTTACACAGCATTTTAACATTAATAAAACTTTAATAAAATTTATAAATATATATGTGTATATAACATTTTTCTTTTCATTTTTCTTTATTAAGTAGAAGATTTCTAAAAACCTGATGGGCACAGAAAGGATATGTTTTTGTTCATTATTTTTTTTGTGCATTTGCTGCCTCACAACCTTTAGGTGTTTATGCTAAAAATAAGAACCCAGCCACCTCTTGTTGCAGATATGTGAATGGGCATGCAAAGAAGCACTTTGAAGAGAGTCAAGTCCATGGCAACAGTCAGAAGAAGGGTGAGAAACAGGAGAAAGAAAGATCATCCCACGCTGTCTGCATGGACTGCAGCAACTTTAGCGTGTTTTGGTGAGTGCACTTCCTCTCTTAGACATCTTCCTCCCTGTGACAGCTGAATGCCAGCCTGTTGACAGCTGGTCATTTTGAAAAGACCTTGAAAATGAAACGATCACTTTCAAAGCTATATTGATTATATTTTTTACCTTTGAGTCTTGTCTAATGTGGATTTTTATAGTTACAGATGCGATGAATTTGTCGTCAATGACACCAAAGTCGGGCAGGTGCAGAAAGTCAGGGAACAGCTACAGACGTTGGAAAAGTAAGTAAATGTTTCTACAACAGTTTTATTGGTGATGCAGTTTTCTTAGTCATCATGAAACATTACAACATTAGAACAACAGTTGAGACCTAGAGAGTAGTGGTCAACTGTGAACTGTTGTAAAGACTGTCAAATGCTGTCTGTTTTCTTTGTTTGTTGTAATTATTCTTTACCTGAGCCATTGGCTTTCTTTATTCTAAGAAATTGCATTTTTACTTTTGTTCAACAGTATTTAATGTAAGAACCTGACTTGGACCTCATTAGAATGATGTTTGATATTACATTTATTTTAATGTGGAATGTTTTTTTACAGCTCAGCGTTGATGGGAGATAGACAGAGGAAAAGAAAACTCCAGGAAGGACTATGTTCAGACAGCAAATTGTTAAAAGACACTGTAAGTGATTTCATGTTCATACATGTGTAAAAATAAATAAATAAATAAACTCTGCTCTTTTCGAATACACTCCCTCTGTACACTGTAAAGAGTAAACCTATGTCGTTTTCTCTGTCAGGAAGGGGCAGCGTCAGGTGCTACAGGTCTGCGTAACTTAGGCAACACATGCTTCATGAACGCCATCCTCCAGTCCCTCAGGTGAGTGCTCTGCTGAGAGGTGTGTAGGTGGTGAAAAGATTTTCTGCGTGGCTCACTCTTTTCCCAGGATTTCCAGCAGTTTTTCTGTAACTCCAGGCCTTATTCTGAACAAATTACAAAAAAAGAGTTTTTAATATTGGTCTGTTTTTTTAAACACACCTGTTTAATGTTAATGTTATGCACTGATGTTTATTTTTTTGCATTTTTTACATTTATGTTAATTTTTAAATATTCTTTACAGTTTCACCTCAATATTTTGTACTAATAAGTATGTTGTTTTTTAATGTATTCTATCTTATTTTTAAAAAGTTTGTTACTCTTTCTAAATACTGATTTTTTTTTTAAATATTTTATTTGCTGTTGTATAATTCAGCCATTGTTTTCTTTTTCTATTCTTTTTTTTCTTCTTATTTTTCTTTATCCAGAACAAATTTGACTTCTTATCTTGCACTGTAGCAACTATTTCAGTCAGAGCAGAAATAAAGGGCAGCCTCTAATGTTCTCATTTTTGTTTCTCTGACAGCAACATTGAACAGTTCAGCTGTTACTTTAAGGAATTGCCTGCAGTGGCTCTGCGCAGTGGTAAGACGGCAGGAAGGAGGATGTACCACACCCGCAGCCAGGGGGACAGCAGTGTGTAAGGTCCTCTTCTGAAGGAGTGATGATTCATGCGCTTAGTTCCTGGCATGATGACATTACTCTTAGCATGTGTATAAACTATGATATTTGTCATTTTAAGTGATCACGGATGATACAAATATTTTTCGTAATCTTTGTGTTTCAATTATAAAGCTTTGTCATTGATTATTTCTGTTTAATAAAAGTAAATGCAGTGTGGTGTCATATTTAACAGGTCTTTAGTGGAGGAGTTCAGGAAAACTCTCTGCTCCCTGTGGCAAGGCACCCAGACCGCCTTCAGTCCAGACTCTCTTTTTTACACCATATGGAAAATCATGCCGAGTTTCAGGTGCGCCAACATTATACAGACCTAACCTTATGTAAAAAAAATATTATTATTAATAAGCTTTGTTACTCTGTTGTGTGCTCAGATGTGGTCTTGTGTTATAGCCAAGGTGAAGATGCACCAAAGATGGAGACACAGTGACATGGACTGTTGTAGAAGTGTGATTTAAGGCTGCATTTCTGTGTGTGTGTGTGTGTGTGTGTGTATCCAGTGGCTATCAGCAGCAGGACGCCCATGAGTTCATGCGTTACCTGTTGGACTATCTCCACAGAGAGCTCCAGTACAGCTGTAACGGTGCTTCAATCCCAGCTTCACCTCAGGACGATGTCAGACTCTCCACAACCAAGGACAAATGCAGCATGCAAGTCGTCTTTACCGTGCACTTTATTTATTTCCAGTTAATGTTTTTTAATTCATGGGAGGATGTATAAACATTACCAATATACTGTAATTTTAAAATGCTACTTGTGTTGCTGAAAGTGCTGAAAAAACATCTGACAGTTACTTTCTTTTCATGTACGTTGCTATTAGTAAGAAATTACTCAAAAAACAAAGGTGTTTTCTTTAGGTTTAGACTTGTGCACAGCCATGGTTGAAGCTGCTAATGATTGTTTGTTTTTTTTAAATGATTCCAGAAATGGACCAGGTAGTGTCGTCACATCTGTTTTTGGAGGAATTCTTCAGAATGAAGTCAACTGCCTGATATGTGGGACAGAATCTCGGAAGTATGATCCATTTCTGGGTAAGATGGCGTTTGTTGGGAAATAACCACGTACTGTAGAAGATGGTTACTGTGTCTTAACCTCCGTATTTCATCTCCTGTAGATCTTTCCTTAGACATTCCAAGTCAGTTCAGACAAAAGAGGAGTAAAGACCAGGAACCAGGGCCGACTTGTACATTGCGTGGTAATTTACCACCTCCCAGTAAACACACGCACCAGCTGAGAAAAACTTGATTAATGTTTAATGTCTTTTCCTTTATTTAAAGACTGTTTGCGTAGCTTCACCGACCTGGAAGAACTTGATGAAACAGAGCTGTACTATTGTCATAAGTGCAAAAAGCGACAGAAGTCCACCAAGAAGTTCTGGATTCAGAAGCTGCCAAAGGTAGATGGCTATAAAAGTTGATCACGGGGAAATGCATAAGAGGAGTCATAAGTAATGAGTCTGTGGATTTTTTTTTTTTTTTTTTTTTTAATATTTCAGGTCTTGTGTCTTCATCTGAAAAGGTTCCACTGGACAGCGTTTTTGAGGAACAAGGTTGATACGTATGTGGATTTTCCTCTCAGGGGTCTGGACATGAGAGGTTACCTTCTGGAGGTGAACTCAAGACAGAGTTGATGCAAATCATTGGTTGTTAAAATGTAACAGTTTGACTTAGGACTTGAATTCATGTAAAAAAAAGTTGAGGTTCAGTGTCCATCAGTGAAAGTCGGTTAAAAAAAAACACCACAAAGATGTCGTTTTGTTTGTTTTGTTTTTTTTTTATCTAAATCAGGACCACCAAGAATGCTTTTAATCCATCTGTTGATGAAAGGTTAGAAATTAATATGTAATAGTTTTAAAGGTTATGGAACCTGCAGGGGGCAGTAATAAGCAGCAGGTGAAGGAAACAAATTGTGCTTTTGAGCAGAATTAAAAGATGGATTCTAATACTGTATGAGTTCCAGTAGTAGTTTAAAAGTTTTAACTTTTTTTATTATAATGACCTAATGTATTTATTTATTTTCTGTTGTTCATTCCTGTCCTGTGCTATTGTTTACAGCCCGAGAATTCATTACCAGGAAGTTGTCTGTATGACCTGGTGGCTGTGGTTGTGCACCACGGCTCTGGGTGAGTAAATGTTCTGCTTCTCCAGGACTGTGTTCAGGATTACCAACCAGGGGTATGCAGGCATCTGGTGGTACATGATTGCAGTCCACGGGGGTTTTTAGTTTTGAGTCTTAGTTACTTGTTCATAGTAGAGGTATTTAAATTATTTTGCTCTTTCATTGTGCTAAGTTTATTATGAGTTTTCTTTAAACAAAAACAGTTTGAGGAAGGCAAAAAAATGAGACCTTCTGTACCACAATTTAAATGGTATAATATTCTTTTGTGCTATATACATATATAGTATGTAAAGTTTAAAAAACAAAATAAAAACAGTAGTTTATTCCTGTTCTTATTGAAAGGTTCTGTAGATTGCTGAAGGTCCTACAGCCAAATACTTGAGAGAGACTGAGAGATAACATCTGTCCATCTTCATATTGCCTCTGAGTGGCGACATTGCACCGCTGCAATGTTAAACGACCTCACGTTTCACAGCAGCAGAAACGGAAGTCTTTTTTTTTTTTCTTGAAGCCACAGAGCAGAAGCTCACATTTGTCTCCATTCACAGGGTTGGATCAGGTCATTACACAGCATATGGCAGCCATGAGGGCCGCTGGTACCATTTCAATGACAGCACAGTGACTCTGGTCAGTGAGGACACAGTGAAGAAGGCCAAGGCCTACATTCTCTTCTACGTGGAGAGCACTGACCAGGTGTCCTCGGACAGAACAAGCAAACCTCATTCAGACAAGGAGGCCATGGACAGTGTCTCTGCAGAAGCAGCTCCTCAGGAAACAGATGCAGCAGATTTATTGACACACAGTGCTTTAATGGATGCAGCAGCCTCTCCACATGTGACCTCAGATAATGCCAGGGTGGCAAGCGTGGGCACAGACGTGGCACTGCTGGATGAAGCTGATGTAGCTCCTGTGGAGGACGCAGCTGATATCGAGACCTCAGAAGAAGCCAGTCAAGCCCCGCAGACGGTTGCGTACTGATTCTGTCAGACGTCACTGCCTTAGGGACCAGCTCCAGTCTGGTCTTCACCTCAGCCCAACCTGTCACAGTGCTGGATAATAATCATCACTTTTCTTAATGTTTAACACTTGTGCAACCAATTTGTTTTTCTAATGACCTGCTTGACCAGTATCATTTATAATGTGCTGCTTGATTTTAAGTATAATATTAAGCTTTTGGTTTTATCAATGTTGTAAAGTATTTTTAAACAGAGGTAGTACTTCTCCATGTCATGTAGATTAGATTAAAGCAAAGCCCTGAAAACCAATGGTGTTGAGTCCTGTGTCTGTGTGGGTCTGAGGTGCTTCTCTGTATAATAATATATTTATATAGGTGTGTACACATGTACAGTATATGTCTACGTATATATATATATATATATATACACGATATGTAGCTATGTGTATATAGAATATATGTATTTACATATATATGTGAATATATATACAGCATGTGTGTATGTTTTATATGTATACACATACACGCACAATTTATATGTGCATACATATGCTGCTAAAATATATATAAGTAGATGTAAATATTTCTTTAATGAAACAATTCTTTCTTTTTCAGATCATCCTAGGATCCTAGGCTTTATATTAAGGATTACCTGAGGACAGAGATAGGCAAATAAAACAGAGCATTAATATTATCATGTCATTAATACTTGTTATAATCATTTTCCTGTAGGAGATCAACCACCTGGCGCCGTTGATGACGTTTACCGACACAAATGCAAGTAAATGCATCATACTTCTCTTCATTTCTTTTGACAACTGTCCCTAAATGCTGCAGTCATATATTTCTCAAAACACTGTTGTAATTTGTAGAAGTAGCTGTTAAGCTGTGTTACATTTTATTTAGAAAACAGAGCTGTGCTCTTATTTTTACAAACTCTTGTGGAGACCAGTTATAATTACCAAAGCTTTGCGACAGGTGTTGATTCAGCTCTGTCTGTTTATTTTCCCCTGGAACTGAAAGAACATTTGAAAAACAAAAATAACTTCTGTTTCAGTCTTTTGATGAGGCAAAGTAGCAGATTGTGCCTGTGAGAAAGACGTCCTCCAGAATTATTATATTGATGAATACATCTTTTATTTAATTGTCTGAGGACTATTTGTCTCACACTTGTATTTTTAATCCACTCCTAAGTAATTAATTCTCAGAAAAGACGTCTTTTGATGCGTTAACATTCAGTGACGGTTGAGAGACCTTCTCTTTCCTTTTGTGAATATAAATCCACCCACACAGTTCACTTCAGACACTCTTATGTGAGAGCTCTCTTCAGGACACGTGCCAACCAGTCAGCTTTCACACTCAGGCAGGAACAAGCTTTTCTCTGTGTGTATTTTGTATCAAGTTCACCTGTGGCTGTGCTCTTGCTATTTTTTTCCATTACTGACAGAAGTATATTTTATTTTCATATGTATTCCCCTTAAACTCAATGATGAGCTTATATTGTAAGTGTTCAAAACAGGGATGTGGTGAAGGACATCATGACACCATTAGGGAGAGTACAGGATGTAATCAGACTCCTAACCGCATCATTTCCTGGTGTCCTGCCAGTTGCCGATGAAAAGAGGGGAGCAGGACATCACCGGTAATGTAGCATCTATCTTGGTATGTTGTCTCTTATTCAGTTAATAAACAAAGTCACAATGTGCTGCTGCTTTATGTTCACGAGGCCTGTCATAGTCTGTCAACCTCACATCCTGAATACACACAATAGCTCAACTTAAATACTATAAAAATGAAAGCCAATAAACTCCTAATATATGACTAAAGGCTGATATAATGCGAATGTTAATATGACTCTTGCACAAGTGGTTTACGTACCCGATTTTATAGTCAAACTTAATAGATTTAGTGTTGTTTTATGCAAAACTGTCCTGTTAACAAATCCCTAAAAATGGCAGCAGAGACACAACTATCAGTGTGTAACTCGTTTTGTTGAAAAATATTTGTATGACTTTGAAGATTATTCTCATTAACCTGGGCACTGAACTTGAGGAACAGCCCTTTTCAAATGTGTTTATGGCACCACCCACAGGGGAGATGATGATGTTACATGCGCTCAGCTGTGCGGTAAATTGTAGAACATACTGCATTTTATATTTTCTTTTTAATATTTTTCAAACTTAACTTTGATAACTATGGATATTTACATATACTGTGAAGAAGTGATACTGTGGAGAATTACAGTTTATTCTGTTTATTCTAACATTTTATTATAAGATTAGGATAAATAAAATAAAATGTGCACTTGAGGAACTGGAGCTGAATGAAGAGATGCATTCATTAATGAGGAGAGTATTTACTGCATTTGCAGTGCCATTGCGTTACACAGTGTCGCTTTTACACTGGTGTCGTATTTCATTGCATTCAGTGTGTGTGTGTTTGTAAATGAGACCTGGATTGTGTAAACATCTGGCAGCCTGTTGAGAGCTATGACAGATGGAAAGGGAGCATAAGGCATAAACACTACCATCTTTGACCGTAGCAACAGTTGTCTTCCCAAAATAGCCTCCACTCTATACGGCCTTATATGTGCAGGCCTCCAGCGTGTGCCTGAGAAGGCATCATGTATCTAGGCCACACAATACCGGCTGCAGGCTCATTGTTGCTGTCTACCAGCAGTCCTATCTACGCCTCAGGCCCCCACTCTGTGTTCTGCACTGCTCACCATGCATATCACCCAACTCAACCATGAGTGCCTCCTCCACCTTTTCTCCTTTCTGGACAAGGACAGTCGCAGGACTTTGTCCCTGACCTGTCAGCAGATGCATAGGATCTTCTTGGACCCGTGCCTTTGGGATCTACTACACTTCAGCTCCCCGTGTCAGCTGAAGAGGGAAAACTACGTTCTGGGACCCTCGCTGCGTTACTTGACTATTTGCTGGTATTCCAGTCGGGTCTTGCAAGTGTGCAACATCGAGGATTGGCTGAAGACCTCGTTTCAGAAGGACATCTGCAGCAAACATGAGCGCCTCGTCAGCACCTTCCTGGGCCGCGTCTGCCACATGTGAGTGTCTGTGTGAGGCCCTTCCCAGTTCGTTATGTAATTTATGAAGACGACAGTGAATTTTCAATGAATTGAACATGGCACAGAGGGATCGCTGAAGGGAGAGAGAGAAGACATCACTGCTGACATCACTAATCTATAACAGGCGTTGGCAACCTTCATCACCAAAGGAGGCATTTTGTCATTTTACCACTAAATAACATTCAACAAGAGCCACGTAGGTCATAACCTTTTAAACAAAGTCACTAGTGCAGTGTAAAAAAAAAAATTCAAACACTATAGTCCTATTGCAAAATTTTAGCCAATTACAGGAAGGAAGCAATTTGAATATATTTTACCTTTACACCACAAAAAACAATAAATGACCACTTTGCTCCTGCTTCCTGCAATGCTGCAAAATGTTCTGAACTCTGTACTGTAGCAGAGAACAGTGACATTATGTTGTTCTTGTTAGCAACAAGCTGAAAAGACAACAAGCTGTTGACTGTCACACATACTGTAAGTCAGTGTCAGTGACATTTCTGCACTGCAATCTGCTCATACTGGCTACCTATCAGTCATGAATGTAGTTTTCAGAAAAACACCATCAGAGTAGATTTTCTCCCTTCAAATATTAAGAAAGTAGATGCAAAGAGCTGTAGAGCTGCACATGGCTCACATGCAGCGTCTCTGCTTCTGAGAACATCACATGAGGGCAGATAGACTGCAGTGTGTTTGTAAAAATACACATGGCCTGTTGAAAGTTTACATAAGCAGCTGGCAATAAAATCATTCTAAACAGATGGCGGAGCTGGAGCTGCTTCAGAAACAGAATTAACGACACATCTGCGGGACACGAGGCTAATGCTGTTTACTATGCGTTACTGTGGTTATGCCTTTCAGATGATGTTCAGGTGGAGTTGATAGACCACCAAAGTGTAGCTTTGTTGGCCTTTTGCCGCGTGTACGTGGCTGGTACAGTAGTACTGTATGTAGGAACGAGTACTAAAAAAGGCAACGAGAGGTTTCTTTGAAAGTTGACTATTCAGGAATGTTGGCTTTGGTGTTTGTAAACAAAAAGCATACTGTATTGGCCTTTCCCCCACAGCCTCATATGCAGGATATAGTATAAATGTAGATTAAAAGTACTTATTCATGAGTATGAGGGAGGTTAAAAAACTGGTAAAATATTTGGCCTACTCTATTGTTTTTCACAATAGGACTATTGTTGATGCCCCCACTTCAGAAAACACAATAATTCCTAAATAGAAAAATGCCTCTTGTTGTATTACTGCCATCTGCTAAATCTGTTTGAATACATCAACTTTGTAAACCATTCGTAGGAAAGGATTTAAATATAACAAAAAATCTATAGAATATTGTTTAAGAAAATCTCTGCATACTCTACCGCCACAGTAGTCAGTCAGGAGAAATCCCTGACGACACCTGCTGGGTTGGGACGACAACTGACAAAGGCACTCTAATTCAAATGTACAGTGTGTGACCTTGTTTGACTTGGACTTGACGACCAGTCAAAACCAGAACCACCTATTTTGGCTGACTCTAAACAGGCTCAAAGAAACACTTAGTGCATACTGATAATTCTCAAATACTCCAAAGAGTGAAGGGGGAGAAAAAAAAACAAGTGCACGTGACAAAGTGGGAGGGAACACAGAGAAGGGGCGAGTGACTGGGCTGCACACCCTCCTCCAGTCAGCTGCAGACTGCAGATTTACACAAGCAGGTGGAGCCTTCAATTGGCTCTTTGTTGCGGTTGAGGGAATGAACATGTGCGTCTGTCTCCGCCTGCCTCTGTCTTGATAAGCAGCCACAAAATCTCTGACGCCAAGCCTGTGTCTGAAGTTGTTATTTTTTATCTGACTATGAAATACTGTGTGTTTTTATAGCACCATTTCCAGTGTAATGTTCCCCTCCTGTCAGATGCCTACAGTAAATCAATGATCAAAACTCTCCCTCCATTTAAAGATCTAGAGGTCGCGCAATTCGAATTATTCATCGCTTTCATGAACATGCAGATCGTGCCGTGGACTAGTGAGGGCTACTGCGCCACAGGCTCAAACAGTTTTGAGTGGTTTTGCTGTGAAACGAATAATAATAATTGCCGCGTTCCCTTGTGAGATGAGTGCCATCAAATCTTGTAAATATATATGCACTAAAGTTTCAGCTGACAGCTGCTTTTGAATAAATCCACAGCTGAAGGGAGAGAGTGAAGAATTCCAAGTCCTTGTTAACATGTTAGAGAAAAAGTCGTCCATTTTTAAAAACCAAAGCAGAAAATGGTAAATATATGTTTAACTCACTCTACCAGTCCAAGGGATAATTTAATCAGATAAAGTAACCACAAGTACAGCAAACTGACTGTTCGGGAGATAATAACGTTAGTAATAGGTGTGGTTTTTCTGGGTTTAGATCAGACCATACAGTATGCAGATGTGAGCCAATACAGAAGCAACAACTACAAAAATACATCAAAAACTTGTAGTACAAACAATATAAATACATCTAAGGACAGCAAAAAAGACAAAATGTTTTCTCTTACACTGTGAATAAATGTCATTGTAGAAATGCTGAAAGAAGACCAAATATAAAAAATAGAACTAAATTAGCATAGAATAATTAAGCTAAAGGTTAAAAGAGCTAACATTTTTTAATTAAACAGAAATCCTGAATGCTAACATACCTGAGAATGAGAAGATAGACAAGATAAAATGTCCATTTATTATTGTTATTGTTATTTTGAAGCCAAGGCTTTAATAGGCAAATACATGACTTAACGTTTCAACATAAAGAAATGAAATACCCAACCTCACTAATGTTATTTAAGAATTGGCCCAAAATAAGAAAATATATTAGTAATAGGATGAGCAGTCCAATAGTAGTTTAAGTATAGTGGTACAAGAAGTAGTTTCTTACATACAAAAAAAAAACACCCAAATAAAAACTATCTAGAATAAGTCCCCAAAGAAGTCAAGTTAGCTCAAATATTAGTTTTAAAACTTGAATATACATACAGTAAATCTGAATAAAATGATCTAAATTATCACCAATCATCATTTACATTGTAAAAAAAACCCTTCTTGTGAGACAGAAAAGCAGGCAAAATACACAAAGAAAATACACACCTTAACTTTTTTACTCTTACAAACACCTAACACTAATACGAATGTGCCTAACCAACATGGTACTAATTCTGATCCTTACTCCAAACTATTTCTTAGACCTTAAAATACCCCGTCAATCATTCAGGACCTGTGAAATATCCCAACAAGGACCAGAAGTCAACGCAACAATAAAAAAAAAAAAAAAAAAATATCCCCCCTGCCCCTAGTATAGCTATACTGGAACAAAACAAAGACACATACAGTACTGTCACACGTGCACACGCCACACAAATTCATAAGCGTAGGTGCCATGAGAGGGCGAGAGAAAGAGAGAGAGGATTATATAACAAAGGTTGACGGAGTTTTTATAGCTATCATGTTCACCTCCTCTCCCTGCCTGTCACACAAGCTGCTCTTATTAGAAAGTAACTGAATCTCTAAATGCCACAGCGTCGTCTCCCCCGCCCCCTCACCGCCCCCGTGTCGTCACTCTCTCTATCATTTTTAGTCTTTATTTTTGCACGATTTACTTTGTTCACATCTCCTTCGTTTCACATAGGTGCCACTATAAATGTACTGTTTTTCCCTCTTAATAATAAATGGCACATTTGTGGATGGTGACACCTCTGGTGACCCAACAGATGGACGGCTAAATATAGAACAGAGCACCACTGTTTTTAAATAATGTACACCTGCAACATGAGTGTTCAAATTGTTAAAGCTTTCCTCGAAATAAATGAAATGAAAATCATTGATTAAACACTATACGTGTTAAAATAAAGAAACTTACCACAAAAAAAAGTTATATCATCAGTAAGATCTTCTTTATGGCCTTCTTCTTTTCTTGTTTTTAGGTCATTTACAGTCGCTCTAAATTATTTAAGCTGAATTACCTCCACCTACTGGTTTTATGACCAAATAAAAACATTTGAATAATATTCCCAAAAGGAAACAGTTAATATTACAGTTGCTCCTGCAAGATCATAAAAATCGTAAAAACTAATATCGTAAAAACTAATACTAATACAAAAATAAGTTTAGACATATGTTAGGTAATTATTACCATAATCATAATCACGATCAGTCACAGGTGGGTGTGACAGAAGCTTCTAGATCTGCATTTGCAGGAAACAAGAATAGGTCGGCTCTCACAGGAGGTTATTGGGAGAGATTACATAAGTGTTTATATAATCTGCACCAGCGGATATGAATGACATCTGACTGCCATCAGTTCAGCATGTCATTGTATATTTCCTACAGCGTGCAGAAAAGACATACAGTTTTCACAGCTACATAAGTTTACATATAAAACTATTTACATTTAAGTGAATCACCAAGCAATTAGCTGATATTGTGAAATTAAGTGAAGCATTTAAAAAAAAAAAAATCGATCCCTAACTGCACAGTGGTCTTGAATGACATCTATAATATGTATATGAAAACCTGGGGCCTTTTGATGGACGAGAAAACTGTCCTGCATCGTATTCCCATTGACTGCTGTGAATTGCTGCAGACCTCCCCTCCCCGACCCCTTCCTCTCCCTTAGCTCTGAAAGGACTATTCAGTAGATGAATGAGAGAATTGTACCACAGATACTAAATCATAAAGAGTCATTAAGACGGCACTATGTTTCATACATGCAACAAAAACAGAGTTTAAAGGACAATTTCATATATTTTTGGCACATTTTGCCTCAGGCCACTATTTTTTTCTAGACGATTGTTCTTCAGAGTATAGAGCAGACATTCAATCTTAGGACAATTGTAGCCCGCGAGTCAAAAAGTTTGCTCAAGCCTGGTGTAGAGATTGGTTGACGTTTTTGAGTAAACAGACTGCGATGTTACCATCTCTGACGTTGTTAAATTTTCATGTCCATATGACTCAGAGTAAACACTATATTTAATTACACGTTTACCCTCTGGTGATTAATTCTATTCAAGACACTTGAGGGAGTTTATCTGTAAATAACCGCACACGTCCGTTTTTATATAAATGAGATCCAGTGACTAAGATGATTAAGATCATTTGTTGTAAACACACGAGGGTTCTTTTTATGGTCTTTATTCACATGAGAGTCAACCTGCTCCTGCCCTCATGAATGTACCGCTGCTGCTCTGTGCCACAGATGCCCCAACCTGCTGCAGATCAGCCTGTCTGGATGTGGACACATCACCGACCAGGATGTGACCTCCGTGCTTCAAGGCTGCAAAAAGCTGCGTCGCCTCCACCTGGAGAACTGCGTCCGCATCACTGACTTCAGCCTGGAAGCCGTGCTGGTCCATGGAAACAGTGTGAAGGAAGTGAAGGTGGACTTCTGCAGGAACATTACTAAAGCTGGACTGCGTGCTGTCAGGGAGAACAGGCCGGATATTAAACTGAGTGCAGAGAGAAGCGCTGATTTGATCCCCGACAGCAAACCTGAGGAGAAGGTGCCGCTCAGGAGGACACTCCAGAAGGTTCTGCAGTTCTCCTGAAGAATTGTATTCCTAATAGAAGATGTGGGAAATCCATGGACAATTACTCAACAACAAACCAGTGTTCTGTGTGATTTTGAGATGAATTTCTGTTGTGTTTTTTTTTATCTTTGAATTTCACTTTTTTATACAAAGTATTGTGTGCTGAATGTGAATATTCCTTAGAAACATGTTTTTCCTATTGTATCTATTCCATATTCAATGGACCATAATGTCTTATTTAACGTAAAAGGGTTATTGTTATTAAATTAAATCATTCTGTTCATAATGTCTTATTTAACTTAAAAGGGTTATTGTTATTAAATTAAATTATTTTACAACATAAATAAAACTTTTCAGCAGGTTAATCTCCTTTAGCTTTTTTGCATTTTTCTCGTTAACTGTAATCCCACTGCAGCCCTGTGGTATTACAGTAAACGAAACTGTATACTCCTCCTTTACCAGTGACCTGCACAGCTACAATAACCTGGTTAGTGACGCACTGATGATGTTATTGTTGATTTGCTGATGCTATGGGGATTTAGCTGTGTTTGAGCTAACTTTTAATTTGAACATACACTAGTTTTGTCCCTCATGTCAGCTCAGGGAGGAGCTGAGCTCACGGATTGGAATCTTATATCATATGTCTTATATAAGACTGTAAGACATGTGAAAATGGCTTGATTGGTGGAGTGGCTCTGTCTGTGACAGCCATGTGACTGTTTTTATTGCAGGCAGCTGTGATTGACATCCCACCAAAGGTAAATGTATACTTGAAAACATAGAGTATTTTTAATTTTTCTTTTATTCACTGTCTAATTTATATTTCCAGATTTTTTTTCTGAGAGATATTAATTTGTTTTTCCATATTTCACATTTACACTATTTTTTAAAGTTAGGGGTTCTCAAACTATGGTACATGTACCGTTAGTGGTACTTTTGGCTCCATAGTGGTGTGTGTATGACCTTGGTTGCTAAATGACATCATAATATTAATAAGGATTAATAATTCACGTACTCATCTTAGCTGAGCCAGGCTCAGTTTGTCACACCGGTAGTATTTTTGGAAATACTTGGTGTAAAAATACATGTAAAGAGGTAAAAACTTGTTTACCAAAAACCAAAGACTTCCTGCAGACCTACAGCAGGATAATAGAACACAGACATGTAGCAGAAGAACTAAACTTTTTTTTATGATCCTCTTCACTTAAGGCAGACCTGTAGCCGCGTGTTGCCCAGGTGTGTGTCCATCACCACTGTGCAGCCAGCGTAGAGCAGCTGCAGCATCCTTGTTTGTAGTGCTGTTAGTCCTGCTGATGTTCGACTCCGTGCTTCCTTTTTATTCACCAGCTCCTGCATGGAGCCCACTCAGTAGATGGAGTGACCCAGCACCAGCCTCATGTGAAGTACCACAGATCAGCGAAATATAATGTGTAGCAGCAGACACAAAAGATTCTTGTGTTTGAAAAGAATGTCTTCTCAGTGGTGTGGCCTGCTCCCAGCACAACAAGTGTTTACTGTGAGTGAGAATGAAAAGGACACAGTGTAGTGTCCTACAGTTTTGTCTCAAACATGGAGTCCAGAGAGTTTCATTCTTTATTAAATTCCCACTGCTCCATACAGTCATTGTATTGACTACATTTGCTGCACAAAGGCATGCTGGGCTAAATAATAGCTTGTAGTCCTTACAGACAAAATAAGGAAATCACCCCCACCTCCCCTCCACACACACAAACACACGATTTGTGTTTGTATAGACACAATACAGTCCTAACACCTTTACCCTAATTATTAAAAATACTGCATGTACATGATCCTAATATGTACCCTATTTTTATTTAAACCTTACTCTAATCCTAGCTCCAAAGCAACTGCAGTATGTCCCCACAAGGACAAAGAGACCCCTCAATAATAGTTTTTTTTAATTATTATTTTAAATGTCCCCAATAATACAGCTATAGTATACCAAGATCAAACAAGTTCTTCACCAGTTTGTACAGCAAAGAGACTTCAACATGTTTGAACAAACCACCCTGGGGTAGAATCGTCTGGGTTCGCTGGTTTATATCAAGTCTTCAAACAGACCACGGTTTGCAATTAAAACCCTTCCTTAATGAGAACAGTCTGCCAGAGGGTGGATGTTGAAAGTACTTGGTCTGAATAATGCCAGCTCTTGTATTTGAAGTATCAGTCATGATTAAATACGAGTATCTGTTAGTTTCAGCTTCACAAATAGTTGCTGATAAGACGATTCTTATAGTAAATTATCTGTACTTTATAGTATTAATAAATAGTCAAAGAACTTAACACGCCTTCGCACTTACAGTGCACCACTACTGTCACTAATGTGTCTGTGGGTGAAATCCCTGAACATTCTGTTGGAAGGAGACTTACTTCATCTTCTGTGCACATTTTTGTGTGTGTCCTTGATTATGCAACTTCACCACTGAGAACACAAAATTGTTTGGATCCAGCATCTGTTTTTCTGCTGGTGAACTAATGTGCCTGTTGGAAGACCTGGTCCAAATGTGGGCTTGGGTCTGGCACAAGAACATCATGAGGGGAGTAAGGAACTTACTTTTTTTTAGCACAGAAAAATGCCAAGACTGCAGTGGCCATTTTAAGTGAAACCAAATGAAAAAATGACTTTTGAATTCCCTCGTTTAGGGTTTGCCACAGGAGCGATTTGTACGTGTCAATTATCACAGGTTTTTGAGGCCAGCAGTCAGTTCTGGTACAAGAAAGTATTTTAAGCAGTTATTTTCTAACCTTAGTGGATTTTTTTTTTACAGCATTGAACATGTCTCCACCCTTTCTCGGCCTGTAGGTCTTGCTCAGAAGTGGAAAGTAACGAATTACATTTACCAATGTTACTGTAATTGAGTCGTTTTTGTTAGTAATGTTTTAAGTAGTTTTGAGAATAGATTATTTTATTTTTTCTTAAATGCATTTTGACTTTTTTTTTCAAAACCCGTTACTGAGTAAAAAATTAATTGCGGGGGAAAACAAGCTGCGTTAACTGAAAGAAAATTGCGTGGTCGTGCACGCGCAGATTTCCCACTATGCTAACATGTATCCAGATAACGTTGGTTAAGAGACAGGCTAGCCTGTCGTTTGATGATGGCTGGTACTGACAAAAAATGGAGGTTGAGGATTGCCAAGCAGAGAGCTGCCGTGGAGCAGATGACTCAGAAAGAGAAGGAAATCCTTCGCCAGCTCTTTGTTTTTAATCGCAAACGAGGCAATAACTTTATCATGCGAGACAAAACGTGCCTGCCCCGGCGGACAGAGCTTCCGCTGTCGAAACTTCCGCATCCAACCTGCGAGAGTATGTTGCGGTAAGTAGAGTATCTGTGCTTTCACTTGTGTTTCCCAAACGTTATGTTAATTGTTTGTTTAAAACATTGCTTCGTTAAGTGTGCCGTCGTGATATCGATTATTTTCGCTTAGCTTAGCATCCATCCTAATAGCTAACGGTTCAGTAAAGTGGAGCAGTACAGTCAGAAATGATACAAGTGCATCATTTTACTTGCAGTTTTCTAATGAAATCTACTTAATTCCTGTACGATAGACTAGACTTGTTGTAGTCTAGACCAGAAGTTTTCAATAGGTAAAGCGCGCCTCCCCTGGGGGGCGCCAAAGAGTCACAGGGGAGGCCTGCATTAACCTGCATGCATGAAGTGAAAATATTTGCTGTCACAAATAATATTTTATGAACGCCCTTTTAAAAAGTTGTGAAAATAAAACGTTTTCAAACACTTTATTCCTCAAAATGTTGGATGAGATGAGATTCATTAGGGACATAAAAAACCTGGGTGTGGTTTCATCCACAGCTGGACCAGCTGTAACAGAGAGGGTATCATGTTATTCTGTAAAATTATCATTTGGCTGTGATTTAAAGGGAAAACCAAAATCTGCTACTGACTGTATTAGAATAACAAATCACATTGAACACATTCTCGCAAAGGGAGACGGATTTTAATTTATTTTAATGAGCTGCTTCTGATTTAACAAGTACATCACAGGGAGACATTAGTGTGAGTGAAATGTGACAGATAGGAGAGTGTTCATCTGCTGTGCTGGTACATTATAATTAATTAAAAGACAAAGATGGGAACACAGCTCGAGTTCCGTTTAGGGTTCACTCTGTAGGATTTGGCAGCCCCTTTTGGTCCAGTTAAATGTTTAAATGTTATCCTCTATGCCTCAGCTTTTCTATCAAAATGTAGAAGATGATTTAGAATCACAGTCTTTAGTCATTATTAAAGACAAAAGGTAGAGTAAAATAATAATTAGGTTTATAATGTAAGGACTCGTTTTACAAGTAACTCAAGTTGCAAGGTTTTCCAACTTTCTCCTCTAGTGTAACCGACCAACCATCCCCATTTTTGTGTCACTGTATCTATAAATCTTCTCGAGGGTCTTCCTTTCTTTCTTGTAATTCCAACTCCTCAGGCCAAAGTATTCCTTATATCTTTTCCAGAAATGTCCAAACTGTTTATTATATTTCAGTTTACTTTAAACTCCACCTTAAAACACCAGTAACCTGGAGGTGAAGTATATTTCTGGAATTTTTATGAAACCATAATTATAGTTCTTGGGTTTTCTTTTTTAAGAATACTATCATGACTCTTCAAGAGGTTGAAATTATCCAATATCATTACTCTGATGTTAGTGATTCTCTGTTTCACAGGAAGTCTTCATGTTTTTTTTAAGTGAAAACTTTCTTAATGTTTCCTTGGCAGAGTAGCTGTGTGTTACTGTTGGGGGGTCCGCCCCTGTCATGCAGCTGCTACTGCTTCAGATACTAATGTAGCTTTGGGCTCCGAGCTTCAAAAGCAGCGTTAATACATGTGCTACACATGTCTGGTGACGAGAACTCTGCTCCTCACCTGCAGTCATGGAGGTTCTCCTGTGCAGACTCGTAGGCTTCAGACCCTGACAACACAACGTGATTTGAGGAAAGCCATTAGACTTTTCACAGCTTCTACAGCATTGTCCCATAAATCCCATGACCTCAAGTTAGTCTTTATCTAGTTAAAGTAGAGAAAGAGCATCAGTTCCAATCATAAATGACCAAAATGACCAATACTGTTGAATTGTTGCAGATGTTTGGTGGGATGAAACGCTATCAACTGAGGCACAACCTTCAAATACTACTCTTCAAAATCAGGAAATTCCCAGCGTAACCAGTCATATGTTCAAACATGCTCCAACCATGCTGTCAGTCAGGTTTGTCCTTAATTCACTCACATTTCCTGCTTCTGTGGCGTTCATGTTGTCCAAAACAGCAGCCCTCATTCAAAAAAATACTTTCACAGGAACTGGATTTCAGTCCTTAAATGAGTCACAGAGGTTGTGTTGCAGGTTGTGACCTTGACTTTCCTCAAAATTCTTTGATGCAAACACCACTTACGGTAGTGTTTAGACTAAAATTAAGATTATGTGCTAAAATATGCTTTGTTGTCTTTGAATTTCTCTTGCAATATTTTAAAATCCCCTCTTATTGTGGATATTTTCTCAAGTTACTTTTGGTGAAAATGGTTTGAATGGAATGAAATAGAAGAGGAAATTTGGCGGTTGCCATATCTTATAAGGGTTTCAAGCATGAATGTACAATACATGTATCTAAAAGGGATACAATGGAGCATTTAAATTAAATCTAAATCCAATCTAAATCTATATCCAACTGTTAAAAATATCTTCATATTAGACAAAATATAATCTATTCCTGTCATTGACAGGGCAGATTTCCATGTGTGATTCACAAATGCTCTCTGGCAGAGTGACGACAGGAAGAGACACCTGAGTGTTATCTCTAGGATCGATGCTGTGAAACGGCTGTGTGAGGCTTCAGTAACACGGGCATTTCCCCCGAGTGAAATATGAGACAATGACGACAATGTGCTGGCTGTGAAAAAAAAGGAAGGGGAGAGGGATGTGGGTGGCTAGGGGCGTGCGGTAGGGGGCCAAGACAATAAAAGTGACTGCTATCTAAGCCCCCTGAAACCTAAAATCAGCAGTTTCCTGACAGCCCTTATATGGTCATCCACAGAAGGCATTTCCAGTATATATCCACTGATTACTCACCCATACACACAGAAAGAAAGGAGAGGGTCGGGGGAAGGCTTTGACAGAGAGAAAGGAGGGAAAGAATGTGCTGTCTTCTCTTGTTCTTGACTTTATTTCTGTCCTTGTGAGGAGCTGTGTTTCTCTGCTACAGAGGACAAACATGTTGACTGTCTTTATTATCTGCCACAAATTCACTACTGAGCAACTCTGCCACTTTTCTGAGACGTAATGCCTGACGTCACAAGAGTTTGTCAGTGGGGAGACTGTAACGTGATGCTGTTGACGAACATCGCTAGACATGCACGTTTTTATCTTCTCTTTTATGAGACGCGGTATGAGACAGGTTGTAAATTCTTACAGGTAGGACATGAGGGAATTTCCCAAAAAATAAACAGCAGAATCGTGCAGTACACTCTTTAAATGGTGACAGGAGAAAAAGAGGCAAAGTTATTTGTCATTGTACACAAATGCATGCACAAATACATCTGTCCTCTGAATTAACTAATTCGATACAGGCTGTTGGCAGCACTTTACTGCACCTGAAAGATCACAATCCTTTAATCCCTGATCGAAAACGTATATTTTGCTCTGTTTATCAACAGGATATTATTCTTGGTCGCTCGCACATGTTTCTTTTTAGTTTTCCATCAGATCAGACATGTATGTACTGAAATATTAGGACGGGAAGCTGCAGGTCCTTAGTATATATTCACATTGTAAATTCCAGAACGTTGCATCACACAATCAGCGGTCTTGATGTTAGACATTTTCAAATTTACCAGTCATTTTAATTTGTTGTTAAAGATTTCATCTCCATCTGCAGGTATTGTAGAAGGGCCTGCATGACGATGGCATGTAGATAAGTCTTATCTCCACTCCAAACGCACAAAGTGACGAGTGTAAACACCTGTGCTTCTCAGATGCCTCTTCAGACATTTCTGTTTCTGCGTTTGATCAGGGATATTTTCATGTCAGGGCTGATTCAGGTGTGGTGTTTGTTGCATTTTGTAGGCACACTCATACATACATACATAGACAGAATGTGTATGGTATGAGAAAACAAATCTATCTTCAAGGCCTACAGATAGAGATCTGTTTTATCTGGCGGCTTTTCAAACACGTCTTTGTTCCACAATTCTTCATTCTTTGTATTTGATGAGAGTGGACACAAAAGACTTTTCTGAATTCCATTCTTGTCCACCATTCCACCTATAGTCTACAAATCATAACATAAAAATATGCAAGGACTACAAGTGATACTATCTTTTTTGTATTGAAAACACAAATAACTAGTGTGTATATCGAGTGTGTTCATCTTTAAGGTTATGCAAAAAGTACTGCAAAGATCCTCACATTTTTTAAACTCCCTAAAAAAAACCTCAAAATACCACAGAAAATAACTCGAATTGAGCCATAAATGCTATTTCAATAGTTATTTCTACAAACATATTTATTAAAACAGCCTTTTGACAGCCCTAAAGCAGGGTTCTTTGAAATTTCTTCGAAAATCTGCACCAACTATTGGCTCTTCCAACCATCCGTTATCTGTGGCTCAATGCTGTAAAGCAAATATGGGTATATTTTTCTCTCCGTCTTTATCATTTTTTAATTTTAAAGTTATGATGAGAGCTGAATTCATATTCTCAACACATATTAATAGTATGTAAGACACTGAAATAACACAGCAGTGAGAGGTGACGCAAACACCCTCCTCCTTCCTGGAGAGTGCAGCGACAGCTCCAGGACAAACACCACAATTTGTTTGTGTGTATCACATCACAACAGCCACAAAAACACACAAAAAGGAGCTCTGGCTCTGGAAATGTCACACAGATGGAGAATTGAGTCAGTCACTGTGAGTCTGTCACCTCCCACTTCAATGTGCTGTGCAACCACGTCAAGATTCTATCACAGAACAGTCAGTCAGAATGTGGTAGAATGTGAACCCCCTCTAATATAGTCACCCAGACTGTGTTGATTACAAGCAGCGGTTACCAACCATTTTTTTGCATAACAATACTTTATTTATACACACATTTGCTTCCCTTCCTACCGAGACACTCTCTGTACTATCTAATAATCCTAAATTTGATTTCCCTGTGGTTCTCCTCCAACTTGTTTTGGCCTAGGGCGAGCACGAAATAGGAGGCAAGAGCACAGAGAATTGGGGCTACTGCTCTCCTGTGAGCCGACAGATGACGAGTCTATTTGTGGAGCTATTTTGGTGTCTGTCTGCCACAGCATCCTCACAGGCTGCTGAACTGCAGCCCCGGCTGTACGTGAAGGAGTGTGTGGAGCACTACAGACAGTGACGCTGCTTTTTGACTGAGCTTCAGGTGCAGGCAGCATCCATCACACAGCAGAAAGTGAGGGTGCTGGCTGTGGTGATGCTGTACGGCTTGTGCTGTTTGCATCCTCCTCGTGTGGCCTAGTAATTAGACAGTCAGAATCATGGTCCTGCATGTGTGTGTGTGTGTGTGTGTGTGTGTGTGTGTGTGTGTTTGTCTGTCCATCACAGTCTCTGCAGTAGTTTCTTACAGACTGCCTCCTTTAGGATTGTGGGAGGAGAGGCAAGCAGCCTCTGACGTTAGCTTGGACGGCTGTTGAATGAAGCATTGTGATTCACAGCGTAGGCACATGTGTGAGTGCTCCTCATAATGACAGGCTTTCAACTCCAGCATTACATGCTGCACTTACTTTTTTGTTGTCAGCGCCCAAATTGCAGGGAAAAAACATTAATGGGAAGGATTGGAAACACAAGTGAGCGTAAATGGGTTTGTAACCCTGATGAACAGGAGCAGAACAGTACTGTGATAATCCAGCACTTTTAGAGCCTCTGGCAGCAAAGGTCAATTACCTCCACTTTGTCTGCCTTTATACCACACTGGGTGAAGAATTGAATTTCTAACTGCATGTGGTCTGTTAATGGCAGCAGTTGGCCTAAAAAACTTAAACTTTCTCCGAATGGAGTCAGCGTGTGATATTTGTCTTACATTTCCTGAGTGTGATGAATGTTAATACACTTGGACTTCAACTAATCTCAAGTCCAGTGGTAAAGATTTGATAAGATCACAAAATGCAAACAAAACGCAAACATTTTCAAAGGTGGAAAGGTTATAGGTCAAATCAATAACGGGTCAATATTAGTTTTGGTTTTTTAATTGATGCTTTTATCATTTGAGTTTTTATATTAAAATGTTTACTTTTACCCTCAGAATAATTTTTGTGATTATAATTCTAAAATTCTAAATCATTATGACCTGATAGTTGGGATATTTCCTTAAGGGAATGCAGTATTTGCTGTCTGTCGTTGTAACTGGCATATGGTTAAAAAGTGTTGACCTTTAGAATGGCTATCAAGTGTCAGCCCCATGAAAATATAACGTGGGTGCTCTTGTCTTACAGTGGTTCAATCCCCCGATGCTAGCTGATGGTCATTCTGTGTAGAGTCTGCATGTTCTCTCTGTGTATTCATGAGTATTTTTGTTGGTACTCTGGTCTCTTCCCACAGTCCAAAAACATACAGGATTCAGTGAAGTGAATGCTAGCTTCATCTTAGTTAAAGTGTGAGCGTAAATGGTGGATAATATTGGTACAAAACATATTATAATTATAATTTGTTTTCTTAAATTGATTAAAAATACATTGAATTGTAGGAATAGAAATCTCACAGTGTATATACATGTCCTGTATATGTATTAGGCTTGTGAAACTGTAGCAGTATTTACTTTTTAGCTAAAGTTATTTAGTTACATTTTACTACCGGTCATTATCAATGCGCAGCAGTGACCTGACATACTGTATTTCACACTGAACCCTCTGGCCTTGTTCACATGATTTACTGGATAATGGATGTATGGCTCAAGTGTGACATTTTAGCCGGCTTTTTGAATGTTTCAGAAAATGTATTCTCTGACAGGTCGAGAGAGACCTCAGATTTCAAACTGTGTCTTGTTACATTCCAGCTGTGTCAACGGTTAGCTTAGGTGCAGTAAGATTAGCCAGTGCTTCATTGTCCCCTCAAGGGACTGAATGAAGAATCAATTAGTAGTTTGACAACATATTTTTGTTAGTTTGGGAGTAAATCCATTTTTGAAGCATTTTTCAGTTTTTGATTACAAATTAAGCTTTTCTGTCCGGCTGGTGATGTCAGGTTAAGACATGGCATGAAGGATTGCAGTCAAAATATATTTTGGAAATTAAACACAATAAAGTTTACTGTTGCTTTAAAAGTATAAAATCATCTAAAATGGATCAGTGGTCTTTTGATGATGATGATGATGATGATGATGCTGTTGCAAATGACCTTTTCCTGGATTCAACAAAGGACCAAAAACACTCTTTTTGTAAACACTCACACAAAGGAAAAGAAACCAAATGACCTGCTGGAGACCCTCACCCACTTCTCTTTGCTAAGAAACACCGGCTCCTAGGTTTAACCATCCATGACACTCTGAACCCGTTGACCCTTTTTGAAGAGCCGGCCTGTGAATTAGCCTAAAACTCTTGCTTGTTGCTTCTTGCTTGAAACCTGTTCTGGGTGTCAGATGTCAAACTCCTGAGCTCACTTATGTTTTGAGGCTGTTTGCCCTCAGTTCACACCACTGTGTCTCTCACGTGTGTCTGATGATCAAACTAAAATGCACCTGTGTTTCCATTACATCATGCAGCCCACTGACATAATAACTGTGTGAATTTATTCAACTTTCCAGATATTTAATGAAGTGAAAGTATGTTAGAAGTGGAAAAAAATAGCTCCAAATCCAAGCTTTTAACTTTATGACTTCACTATACAGAGTTTTTACTTAAAGAGGAATTGTAATGTAAATAGACTGTACAGGGTTTGCATCTCGTAAGGAGATGACATCATTAGTGGAATGAATTTACATGGCATATTATAATATAAAAAATGCTGTGTGTTCATAGAAAAGATATCATTCATGCAAACTTTTGAATACATAAAAAGAACGAAAATTAAGAGCAGGGTACAAGGCTGTTGTGTTGTGTGTCCTTGACTGACTTCTTTTGTAACATAATTAGCTGTGTGACCATTAAACTGTTTAACCAGGATCCTGCTGAGCTGAGCTCAGGCTGCTGTTGCACGCACCGTACTTCTTAGAAAGTTAATGGGCCACGAGGGAGGCCTGAAGCAAAAGAAGCTAACAGCAACTTCATCCTGATGATGATATTCGTGCCCCAAGAATTCCACCCCCACCCTCACCCACTGCACAACCCGCTGTAGCTTCACTTGAGGCTGTTGGCAGATTCATTTGTGCTTGACCTACTTAATGTCTCCAGAGAGATGGAGCAGTAAACATATGCAACTGCTCCTCGCCAGAGAAATGTGGAATTTTCCACGGCTTCAACCCCGAGTTCACAGGCCAAGCCTATGTCCAGAGGAGGGAGAGTGAAGGAGGAGTGGGAGAAAAAAAAACCCTGAACTCTGTAACATTTTCATAACATTTGACCTTTCGATGGACCTGTTAACTACTGGGTCAATAAATTACTGCCAGGCCTGGTTTAAAATATACTGGTGGAGAAACGTTGACACCTTTTTTTTTTTACACTTTTTTCTGTTGCTTTTATTGTATGATTAGAATTTTACTATATTTGTTAGCTTTGCTAGTATTGCAACCCCAGGGTTTCCACTATGTACAACAAGTTCTACACATTAAGCTGTGTACATGAACCTCTGTGCAGCCCGCAGCTGGTTCAGAATTAGGGTAGACTCAACACAGTAGTCCAACTCTTCTGTTACTGTTCCCTAAATGATAAATATCCTTTAGTGTCTCAAACTGCTGGGAGGTGTCTGAGGCTCCTATAGATTATAAATAGATTATAAGTTTACCACTTCATTAGCTATCTCTAATGAAGTTGGCAACATTTTTGGTACTGATGCATTTGACGCTGCCTGGCATTTTCCTCGTCAATATTAACTCTGCGGCAAACAAACTAAATTAACTGCGACGGGATCACCTTTTTAATAGGATTAAGGCAGTCATGATGTCATGCAACGTCTTGTCCATATAAGGAGCATGGCTTTACAGCAGTCTCGGGATATTTCCAAAATGTAACCAGCTTCAACGAAGAAGTGAGTTCATATTTTTTGTTAAACGAGGTCAAATTTAACTACATATAAAGTTGACAGTTGCTGCTGTTGTTACTTTATCTTCAAAATATCCTCCATGTTGTTTACTCTACTAGGTAAACAAGGGAGTAACAGGTTTTCAAGTTATCCTCCCAGCACTTGTTGAGGATGATGTAAATTGTGTGTCACTCACACACACACACTTCTTTAAACCTTACAAAACCTTTTGTGGTTAAGCAGTGTGAGATAGTTGCCATCGCTGTAATTACTGTTCTGCTTGACATGAACGTGACTTCAGTGTTGAGTCACCTAATAAAAACTGTCAGAGGAATAAAAGTAAATACATAAATTACAAGTAATCATGTTGTTTGTGTTCCGTCTGGGGCTCAGTTGACAGAAACACCAAGAGAGCGCCAGCATGCGTATTAATAGGAACATCTTCACAATATGGCAACAGTTAACCTGTCAGTGTTTTTATATTATTTACTGTACACACTGCTGATTTTCTCTTTTCAAAAAGTACCTCAAAAGACACCTTTTCCAGATGAGTCTAATGAAAGTGTGTTCTGAGAACAGACTTCTACACTTCTGTGTTTTGTATTAGAATGACCTCAATTCCATGTACTGTATAGGTATTCAAATAATACACAGGTTGATATATTTATGTTTTTATTTTAACCATGTGAAGCTACAGTGGGAAAAATGGCTATGATGCTAACTTATATCAGATTACTGTTATTATTGTTATATTATTATTATTATTATTGTCTAATGAATCAATCATTTTCTGATCCTCTGCAGTACTTAGACAACCCCCTCCCACCCCCCCAGGGGCCGCAGACCCTCTGTTAAAGACCTTGGCTCTGTACAGTTGAACAACATTGAGGCGCTCTATTATAATTTTGCATCAGTGCTGACAGGTGAAGACTTGTAGTGTATAGTTTTTTACTTTTGTCTTTGCTTTTATAAAATATGCACAGCACAGAGTACAGTGTACTGGAGGTGTGAGCAGACGCAGAGATGAGAATGTTATCTGCAATATCAGTGCTTCACCAGCTGTGTGCAGTCAGGAAGACGTAGGCTGTATTGCCTGCAGAGGAATGTTAAAAAAAAACCTGCCGAATCCTATTGTCAGAAAAGTTGGTTTCACATCACAAAAATGTATTTCAAGTCAAATTTGAAAACGTTCATTCATTTTAGCTGTGATTTATTAGCCACCAGGGAAAGTGAACATTGGAAATGTTTTAGTGATATTACTGAAAATTCAAACATTTTTTAATCAAATTCTGCAAATCATTTCATAATAGTCTGGACGACACTAAATGTAAAGGTAATTGTTTAGAAGAAAAGACAAATATACTCCATGTAAAAGATTTCCTTCTTTGCTCTTTGGAAATCCACAATCTTAAAACCCAGATCTAGACTAATCAAAATTTGGAACGACTCTATGCCCTCATTACATGTCCCACATTGTCCAACTCTAAGATAATCTTTGTCCCACATTTCATTAATTGCTACCTGGTCAGTGAACATTTTTAAGATACTGAAGGCTTAGGGTTTTTTTTTCTTTTAATGAGCTGAAGACTGAAGCCTGACAGTGACAGACAAACATCTCATTATTTTATTTGCTGACACACCAGTGGCAGCTCAGAACTGTTGTCTGAACTTGTATTCGTTTTCCATGGTTTGGATTGAAGCACATGTCCCGTCTCATCGTTTTCTCTGAGCTTCACTGGAGAATTGATTGCTGTTCCACCCCATGACACGTCATGTGAAGTAGTGACGTCGCCGTGTGTTTGTGCAAGTGTGTGTGCGCACACGTGAACTTATGAGCGAGCACCAATGACATGAGAAGCAGATGGGCGGGCGAAAGTGTCGAGGCGACAGCGTGAAAGATCAGTGGAAGGGTTAGCAGAAATATAAATATGTGTCCCGTGTGTGGAGTGACAGGAGGTATGTGTGAGAGTGTGAGGGAGAAAAAAAGTTGCTGGAGGCAGGAGAGCGATGGAGACAGAGAGAGAGAGAGAGAGAGAGAATAAGAGAGCGCTCCTGTGGCTGCAGCACTGTGTCCGACCCTCAGTGCCTCGGGTCTCTCGTGCTCCTTCCACATGTATTTCTGTAGCAAAGAACATTTTCTGATACCTGTCCTCTGCCTGGCCTCGTGTAATCCCTGCCTCCAGCTTTTCTCTCTCTTCCTCTCTCAATCTGTCACCTACCTCATGCACACTGTCACCACCAATCAACACCATCCCCTGGCTGCCGTTTTCCAATAAGGAAACAGATGCAGTGCTGTGACAAGACTCCCTGAGACATAATGTCGGTGCGCTGGCTCTCACTGAGACTGTACACTGTGACATTTGAAGGCCATTACTGTATACATGCTGTTTCAGCTTCATGCATAAGAGCAGGTATTGTACAGGGGTGAGGGCGGGAGGTGTGAAGACATCACTCTAAGTGCTCTCTTGATGCGTCTGTTTGAAGGCCGGAAGTGTAGGAGCAGTCGACTTTCTGTAAAGCCCCTTGTTGAGCAGGCGGTCCACGTTGAATGATATGCCTGATGTGTTTTTTTTGTACTTTAGAAGGTTGGGATGACGTCCAAAACAAAGAGCTGCAGCCTTAATGTGGGCCTCACCGTGTTATGCAATAACAGTGCAATAAAAAAAAATCTATACAGCCCTGAAGCTAAAGGAAGCAGAACATTCTGAGCTGGACAATGACCAAGGACACGTGTTGAGCACAAACAAGCCCCACAACTCCATCTGCTCCGAGGAGCTCCAACTCTTTGGGTCCGTTGTGAATTGACCCTGAAGTGTGTCTACTGTGCTCCACAGGATTTTCTCACATTACAAACGTTACTGCTGACAGTCACAAACTCTTGCTGGCTTCAGTGCAGGGAAAGAAAAGTACGGAGGTTTGAATTATTAATGACATGATTATGATGTAGAAGACAAAAAAAAAATCAGCATTTTAACAGTATATTATTGCACAGCAGTGGCCAATTATTTTTTCTTAGGGCTGACGAAGTGAAACCTACGCTGTGTTGGGGAGGGGTGAAAACTAACAATATATTGAATTATACTCTGTATATATAAATATTTAACTTTACTCTCATTATGTTGGACCCAATGTCTAAACCTTGTTTTCTTGATTATCTAAAGAACATGGTAAAAATGGTCAAGTAATCCTTTGTTACACTTTTATTCTTTATTCTGACCATAAAATAAAAACATAAAAAATTATTTTGGAAATTTCAGTCCAATATAAATTATTTTTTGTTTACAAATTTCCTGTAACACAACACTCACTGTACTAAACCATTTCTTATTGGTTACTTATTAATAAATAAATAATCCTTAAGGTATATCAGCCTTTTAACAAACACAGCTTCAACACTCAGTCGCCCATTCAGTAATTACCTAAATAAATGCATTGTTACATCTAGTTCTTCTTGTTTCGTTCTAATGCCAAGTATTTGATGCCAAACCGTGAAATACTTGGCACTATATATATACTACGTATATATATACAGTATATACGTATACTTAATTTACTTCATTCACATTAACTCAAGCTGCAAAGTCAACTGAACGTTTTTACTGTGTTTAGATTAAATTACATATTTAAAACAAGTAACCGCTTTGTTGCTCGCACAGCTCTTGTGTATGTAGCGTAACTGCCTGCCAGGCGTTTTTTTTTTTTTTTTTTTTACTAGTATCGGGGAGAGTCATCTTTTTTTTCACCTTAGGAGACACCAGTATTTTAATAAAAATAACTGATCTGTATTTGAGTTTTTTTTGTTTTGAAGAAACCATTAATATTTTGAAAAAAGAAAGAAAAGCCCCTTTTTTTTGTGATGCAGTGAGATGAGGCCTGTGATGAAGGTCACAGCTGGCTGTTAACTTGCTATGATTCTCAGCTTCTTCTTGTGAGTGAGCTCGGATGCGTGCCTGCCAGGAAAATTATCAGCCCGTATCACACCACTTTCAGATAAGATCTGGCACCGAACCGCCTACATAACGAACCCATCAAAGTGTTAGCAGAGGGAGCGTGGGTAGTTCCACATCGACCTAGGATTTGGCGGTGGGTTTGTTCCCGGTCCATGTCGGCAGCTCTCCACACAGAGACCAGAGTAAAAATACTCAGGCCAACCAAAAAAAAGTGTCTGTATTTCATGACTGCTCCTGAGAGGGGCGTTTTAAAACGTTATGTTGCATCATCTAAAATTATTGCAGTCACAAAAAGATGGACTTCAACAAGTGAGGATCGCATCACATTAGAGCGCAGAGTCTGTTTGAATTGACCAGAGTTCCACAGCAGTGTGTAGAGGAACTATTCAGTGCTCCGTGGTGAGCTCACAGTCCTTTCTGCATCGTGCGTAACCCTCCTCATCTGTGTGTGGTGAGCTGCACGCTGGAGCACTTACATAACCCTGTTAAAATATACCCCAGTCACATGTAACAATCAGCCCTGCTGATAGAGATCCCACTGCTGTAAGAGCTGCTCTGGCAGCCATTCAGACATTTAGAGTATTAACAGAGAGGGAGAGAGGGGGAGAGAGAGGGAGGGAGAGAGAGAGAGAGAGATGCTGCAGTGTGTCTTTGCCAGACATTCTCCACTTCCTGCATGGGAACTGAAATGTCTGAGTGAAAAATGTATTCTACACTGAAGCACATGCCACTGACATAAGATTACGAAGAAAGAGCCACATGGGCAGAGGGAGAGAAGCTGTGTCGGAAGTCAAAAAAGTATCACTTCTTATCTGACTATCTGACTACATAACCTACGACACCAGCTCTAAATGCTATTGGCTGAGACTCAGCACACACACACACACACACAGCTGCAGTTCACCCGCACTACACACAGTCACATTTCTGGTGTGTGGGTGGAGTTAAGTTGGCGGAACTAACATTTACTGTAACAGGGGAGGAAAGGCTCTGTCGTGTGAAGTGGGAGATGAATGTTCTGACGTAGATTACCAAGAGATTCCTCCAGATTCCTCCTAAGCCCCAGGTGTCAGATCGGTGGTTTCTGCTCAAAAGTGACATGCTCTAAATGAGATGAGAAATTTCTCATCAATGACCGACTCTCTGTGCGTCGTGAATGGAACATTAAAAAAAAGAAAAGGATTTTTCCTCCCTGTGTTTTTGCCCCTCGTAGTATGTGAAACGCTTGAAGGTGTTCAATGCAGATTTACATATGGTTGTTAGCAAAGTTAGATACTGCTTTAGTGAAGTAAAGTTACAGAATGAAGTCATAATACCAGGTGGAAAATTGACATTCTGGACAGGAAAATGTTGGTGAAAGTCATTGGAAGATGTTGTTGTTTAGTGATGGAAGTTTTGGGGTCTCTGCTTTCAGACATGCTGGTTGCTTATGTACATGGAATGAACATGTGAATCCAGTTTCATAAAATTTGTTTACCTGTCATTTTAGCTGTTTGTGGTATAAATTGTATTAAAACTATTTTCCCTTCTTGCCCCCAATATCTAAGGTTTTAAGGGTCACTCCACTCCATGATTATTTGAAATGATCCTCACCTCTCATTTGACTCTTTGAATGTGTCTTGAATGCAGTTGAACAACATACTGTGTTTCATCTGAAAGCAACATGAGATGTTGCGCCACAACATGGAGAACTTCTCAGCAAAGGTTATGTAACCTTGAGATTACACGGCTGAGAATCACCACGAGGACTTAATATTCTGCTTTAGTGGAAACTGCGTCCAGCCTGTGCATGTGTCTTGAAGGTCTGATCCTCGCTGTCTGGCCTCACATGTTTGTGTTTATGTTGATGTTCCCTGCAGCCGCTTCAGCTGCT